CAACAGAGTCTTGTTTCAAGCACTGTGCAGTATCTGAGTGCTTTGGACGCTGCCTCTTCTTGCTCTGTTCTAGCTGGTTTGTATCATCTTTATACAAATAAATTACTGAAAAATATTACCTTGTATGACTGTAGATACCTTTTCTTTTTTTTTTTTTTTTCTTTCTTGGAGTTTATTTGAATTATCCTGAAAGACTAATAACCTCACGCAACTCGTAGGCAGTTCAGGTCTAACTTCATGCTAAACTTCCAGCTGAGCAAGAGGTGGGCTGTGCTGGTGCAGGGTCTGCTCCAGCATCCAAGTCTCCACCTTGTTGCAGAATGGCTCTAAGAGCAAGGCCATGGAGCCTTAGAGGCCCTGTGCGAGCAAGGCAAGGGGTAGGCCTCACAGGTAACCGGATACCGGATGTGGGAGGAGAATGTGAAGGAAGCTGTGTAGAACTAACCAATACTGTTCTGACTAGTAGGCGTGGCTAAACACCACGTGGATTTAAGCGAAGTGCGCCACAAATAAAGTAGAAGTTTGCTTATCACCCATACTGGGTTGGCATGTCTTGCTTCTCCTCGCCGTTTCCACCACCTGGCTGAAGTCACCAGCTTCTCCTGGAGCTTTGCTGTATGCCAAGGCCAGCTCCATTTGACCATGTCCTGGGAGAACTGGTGGGGAATCATTGTGCTCTTCAACCTCAGAAGCTTCTGGAGATCTCCCTTCCCACCATTTTTCATTCAGCTTGTGACATCATGATTTTGGTATGGAAAGGACAGCTTCCAAAGAATACCGTCAGTGTTCCCTGAATCTAGAAGTATCCTGTATTGCTTCGATTTTCCTATTTACTTTGTGCAGACCATTTTCTGCCCTCAGCTCTGCACGAAGCAGTAGAGCACCTGGTATAGATTGTGGTTAGCAGAGGAGGGAAGACATTCCTTTCTCTTACTTTTCTTTCTTTCCCCTTTTTCCTGGCAGAGCATAGGTGAGGAGGAAGATGGTGCTGTTTCCCAGTTATCTTGGTGAGAGCGCTGATTCATGCCGCTCCTGACAAAGGAACACCATCGCTAGGGGTAAGCAAAGCTGGCACAGTGGCATTTTGGAGAGCTGCTTATGGACTTCAGAGCCTGCTCCAGGAATAAACAGCAATAAGACATAATTCCAACGCTTCCCCCCCTCTTTATTATTTTCTTCTTTTCATCGTAAGAATTTTAACGTTACAAAAAATTACAACCACTGAACAGAAAAAGACTCTCCCTAGTACTGTAATGATACTGCTTTATAAAAGCTGACTAATTTTTGCCTTTGGTAATTCAACTGAGTTGTTGCATCTTTTCTACATTTTGGGTCAGGGAGGGAGGGAAGCACTGCATTGTATCATTGATAGAAGTCACGAAAAAGTTCAAGGGCACCTAATGAAAGAGGCAGAGAGTGGATTTTGGTTGTCCCAACCAATGTTACATGTCCCAGTATGCTGATTCATAGCCTGACAGTGTAATAATCTTCAATTCAAGTGAGGGTATGAAGTTTTTGACAGTGTAGGTAGTTAAATCAACATAGATGTGTATGTATGGAGATTAGGAGGATTTAGGGAGTTGAATTTTATACTTTCATCCACTGAAAGTCAATGCAAGTCCTTGCAAACACTCTATTTTTAAATTTGTACCTAGAGAAAAATATCAACTGCAGAATAAATTTTAAAAACATTCTTGATAAATCTTGTTGCATACAAAACCACTCATTTCAGCAGGGACTTTAGCAATAGGACATGGGGCAATGGGTTTAAACATGAGCAGTGGAAGTTCAGCTTAGATATAAGTAACAAGTCCGTTACTGTGAGAGTGGTGAGACGCTGGAAGAAGTTGCCCGAAGAAGTTGCCCAAAGAAGTGGTAAACGCTCCATCCCTGGCAGTGCTCTTGATTTCTTTCTTTCCCCTTTTCCTGCAGAGCTCAGCTGGGGACGAGAAGGAAGAGGGCGCTCTTTCCGATGCTACCTTGGAAAGAGCACAGATTCAGGAGGCTCCTGCAAAAGAAACAGCACCACTAGGGGTAAGTAAAACCGGCACAGTGGCAATTTGGAAGGCTGCTCATGGACTGCGGACAACTGAAGTTGTCTGCCTGGATCATCTGAAAGACCTCTCTCCTTCTGTTGACTCCTCCTCTTTTCTTGATGCGTAAAAAGGATTGCCTTCACCTTTGTCAGGCCAAGTCCCCAGCTGATACAAAATATCCTCTTCTTTGGAATCGGCGCCACTGTGGCAGTTTGAGCCAGATCTTCAGGAAGTGGCTATAACTTTCATTAGCATTTAGTTATGTTTATCTAATTTCTTTGGGATCGAAGGCAAGAACTTGTTTTGATGTAGTATCCAAGTTGGTATTTTAAACTACTCTTTAAGTGCCCTGAGATTTTTCTCCTATCCATTTCTTATGAAGCTCCGTGACATGGAGCAATGCAGCAGTGCTGAAACCAAAGTCAGCAGCCCAAGGCAACTGGAAAATGAGACTTTCTCATGTCTTTGCTCTGACCTGAACTGAAACCTATGTTCTGTTACGCTAGTGGGAAGCCTTTGTTGGCTTGGCTTAACAGCATTGTGATCTAGGACCAGAGAATCTCACAGAGTGCCCATCTGCCCATCCCAGTGTGCAAGAATTTGGTTTAGGTCTGACTGAGAAATCTGTCCATGTCTTCAGCATCCAGGAGACCTGTCCTAGATGACTGGCATTCACCAGGCTGCTTGACATGAGGTCTAGGAATTTCTGAGTCTTTCGAAGTCCACCCACAATAAACGGGGGCATAGTTTGCAAATTTAATATGGGTCATTTAGAATAAAAAGCAAAACCCCAAACCCCAAAGAACAAATAAGATCAACTATGATAGTAATACAAGGATTTATAATTAATTTATCCCTGTTACCTGAGGCTTGATTTCTTTCTTTCCCCTTTTCCTGCAGAGTTTAATTGATGACCAGCCATGATCATCTTGAAAAAAAGGACTTCTCAACCAATATTGCACTTGAAAAGTATCATAGATAGGATAAGGTATGATAGGAGGATAGGATAGGAGAGGACAGGATAGGGTACACTTAGCATGGGTTTACATTTCAATTAGTATAGTTTATTCATATTATTTTACAATATATGTTAGTATATATTTAGACTACTATAAGATTTACCACTTCTATTTACAAGTACGAACATGTACCTCCTAGTTCAAACAGTTCAAGAATACCAATTCAGGGGTTTTTTGAAAGTAAAGATAGTGCGATTCCATTGTTTACACTTTTCATTACATTATATATGAAAAAGATGTTTTTAATTGCTTTCCTGCAGTCTTTATAGATAAGTATTAAAAGTTTTTCCACTGGTATTTGCCTTGAGTTAGTCTATGTTCTTACCTCAGACTCTCTTACTGCATGTCAGGTTGGGGGGCTCTGTTTGTTTGGTGTTGGTTTTGGGTTTTGTTTAATGCCTCACACCACCTCTGTCACTGTTTACTTAATTGCTTTTACTGTTGGAACTTCTTCCAGCTCCCACAACTCATCTTCCCTGCTCCCTTGAGAACTTGAAACGCTACATTTCAGCTGAATGCCCTGTAGGTGTAACCCTTCAGCTACAACCCTCCTTCAGCATTGCTTTCATTTTCAATATCACACCCAGTAACAAGGTATGGACTGGTTGTAACACCGCCAGCATTACTGGCATGCATCTTCTTTAAATTCCTGCAGTTTTTTTATGAGGGTAACTTCTGTGTTTCAACAACAGTGGGGCTAGAAATAGTTGTCCAAGTAAACCAGTGTTGTGGTTTAAGCCCAGCCAATAACTCAGAACCACGCAACTGCTCGCTCACTTCCCGCCTACTTCCTCCCCCAGCAACCAGGATAAGGAGGAGAATCAAAAGAATGTAAATCCCACGGGTTGAGGTAAGAACAGTCCAGTAACTAAGTTACTACTGCTGCCACCAATAATAATAATGATAACGGAAATAACAAGGGAAGAGAATACAATACCACCCGCTGACCGACACCCAGCCCGACCGAGCAGTGAACCAGCCCTGCCAGGTAACTCTCAGTTTACATCCTCGGCATGACATCCTGTGGTATGGAATACCTCTTTGGCCAGTTTGGGTCAGGTGTCCTGTCTCTGCTTCTTCCCAGCTTCTCCTCCTCCCTGGCAGAGCATGAGACTCAGTTAAGTCCTTGGTCAGACTAAACATTTGAGCAGTAACTAAAACCATCTATGTTATCAGCGCTGTTCCCATGCCAAAAGTCAAAAACACAGCGCTGCATCAGCTATTAAGAAGGAGAAAAAATGATAGCTACTGCTGAACCCAGGACAAAGGGAAATAGAGGGATGGTCATAGCAAGGCACAAGAACTACCACAGGGTGAGGTAAAGTTGGTCTCAAGGGATGTTAAGACTGGCTACAGTAAGAGAGGACTGAAGAACAGACTGGGATTTCTGCTCCTGCAGCCCTACATGCCTCAATAAGAGTGTCCGTGTGCCCCCATTCAGTTATCTGGAACTTGTCTTTGCTTCTTCTTGACACTGCCCTCAAAGTGCTGAATCTCCTCTTTCAAATCTATTCCACAGTGCAAATGTCAGGAATTTCAAGCTGAAGATGGAGCTTGCGTTTGCATGTGGGAAACATGGACAAATGTGCTTTCTCTAATTACTATTTTCACTGTTAGTTTGGTTCAGCTGCAGACATTATAAGCTTCCCTTTCCTTTCTTTCCCTCACAGATATGAGTCTATTCCAAAGTTATAGGCTTCCTAACTTGCACACAAGCAGGCGCATCCCTCCACCAGCAAGGAATGCAAGCATGCTTCCTTGCAGCACCTCCATCAGCAAGCAGAAGTAGGGTTGTCAGAAAACATTGTTTCCACACAGGTCTGCTAGCCAGTAACAAGTAAGCTTATGATCTACAAAACACCCACTTAAGTAGCAGATGAGGGGCAAAGCTTGTTGGGAGATGAGTCAGATGATGCTTTCAACACACCAGTCCTTCTTTACCTTTTAAATCTCCTTGGAAAACTTGATCAGTGGGGCATTATATGCTACAAATCCTCCCTGGAGGATATGCACTGACCATTTTGGCTCTGGAGATGGCTGGCTTAGTCTTGCCAGTCACCCAGGAAGGTTGCTGTTGTAACCTTGCAGCCCCACTAAGCCACCAAACCAAACAGTTGATCATGCATGGGTAGTTGAGAGAAAGCCACTTTAACAGCCACAGCTCTTTCTGTAGGCTGTATTCTGCTTCCCAAGGACAAGTAAACAGAGAAACATTCATAGTAAACCACCAGTTAAATTACCTTGGCTAAATCTAGCACTGAAGCAGGGAGCTTGGGATAGCGTTTGTGCAGAGATTTGGCCTCCTTCACTTCAGGCAACCTCATGCCAGCAAAGAGGGGATTTTTATAAAATAACTCTTGGTGTCTTGGAATTAAATTACCTGGAATCACACAAACAAAGCAACCATCACAGAAGAAATACAGGACAGTCCGGTGAAACATTTAAGAAGCTGGAACACTTTGCCAGCACTACCCTTAAGGGCTATAGTCTGCCATGAATTGATACTGTACTCATGAATTCTTAGATCCTCATTTGTAAACGGTGCTAAGAGCACACGCTCTCAGAGACAGTTCAGCACACACAAACAGCCTTTCCCCCAACACCTTCCTTCCCCCCATCAAAATGTATCTGACCCCTCCATTAGTAAACAGGTATGAGGATCCTGACAGGCTATTCTTACCCAGGCATTTGGTGATATGGTAGAGCTGGTCAATGTCTGAATCTCCTGGGAAAAGGGGCTCTCCTGTGAGCATTTCTGTTATCAGAGAGCCAATAGGCCACACATCGACATCCCTGGAAATTAAAAAAAAACAAACACCACCCCAGCTAGGTTTAGGTAATACAGGAACATACATAAACGTGCACAATCATACTAAGAGACCTGTGGGTCACACAGTTTAAGCTCTGACCTGGTTTTGTGACACTGGGGATCTCAATAAGAAAAATCTTATCCTCTCTCCCAAAATGTCTGTCTGAAATTGTTTGGAGGGACTTTTCTGCCTTCCCTCCATAATTCCAACTGTGCAGCAGTCACAGGCTCCCCAATACCAGCACTGGCAACTGAAAAGCTCCTACAGACAACAGACCAGGAATGCCAAGGGCTCCCTTGCCTTCTGAGTCAGGAAAGCCTAGCACTGGCAGGAGTTAGCTGCAGAGTGTGAGAATAAGGAGGAAAGCTTCAACCTTTATAACGGAAAGCTTCAACTTTTACAAGGGAATAATCAGGGAATGCTGAACAGCACAGAATCACAGAATGGTTTGGTTTGGAAAGGACCTTAAGATCATCTAGTTCCAACCCCCTACCAATGGCAGGGACATCTCACACTAGACCAGGTTGCTCCAAGCCCTGCCCAACCTGGCCTTGAACAGTGCCATGGATTGGGCATTCACAACTTCTCTGGGCAACCTGTTCCAACCCTTTAACCTATCTGCCAAGCAACAGTCCCTTGCCTCCCCAAAAAACAGAGCAACCCAAAAAAACAGAGCAACCCCTCCATAAACTCCACAACCCTTCCACAGGCTGACATGCCAGTCTTACTTGCCCTACTTGATGTCTCCCACCAGCAGATCTGGAGCTCTGTACCACTGGGTTGCCACATAGTCTGTGTAAGGTTTCCAAGAAGCTGCTAAGGTCCAGGCAAATCCAAAGTCACAGAGTTTTACAACTCCCGACTGGGAAACTAGTATGTTCTCTGGCTTAATATCCAAATGGATTATCTGCATGGAAATAAAACAAGTCAAGACAAATAAATTCCCCCTTTCTAAACAGTAAATGGACTGGGTCACCAAAACCACTAGCTTTCTCACATGTAGGGAGAAAAATCCTATTTTTGCAGGCACGAGAAACATATGGAGTCTGTAAAATACAGCTACATTCACTTAGTCAAGGAACAGTTGCTGACCCTAGATAGGTAAGTATAGAACCTCTAACTTTTGCACACAGAAACATTTATTTCATGTATCTCTATGCAGGTGTATTTACCATAGATATTTTAACAGGCACAATTTATTATGCTTGAAAATCTAGCCTTGACCACAAGTTTAAGAGCCGTATGTATTGCAAAGGCCATGAGCATGTCCTGCAGTCAAACATTAAGAGTATTTTAGGCACTCATAAGAGAAATAGGTTCCCAAACATATAAATAAATACATAAATGTGTATGTATCTATATATATATAGTTACACAACTAGGATTAAATTGGCAAACCTGCCAACCAGTTGAGAAGAAAAACCTAAAAATACTGAAGAGAAAAAGCAAGCCTACATGTTTACATAGACACTATCAGAATCCAACTTTCAACAGAGAGACTCATAGAATCACAGAATGGTTTGAGTTTGAAAGGACCTTAAGATCATCCAGTTCCAACCCCCTGCCATGGGCAGGGACATCTGACACTGGAGCATGTTGCTCAAGGCTCTACCCAACCTGGCTTTGGGTACTGCCAGGGACGGAGCATTCACAACTCCTCTGGCCAACCTGTGCCTGTGCCTCACCACCCTCACACGGAAGAACTCCTTCCTTATATATAACCTGAACTTCCTCTGTTTAAGTTTAAACCCATTACCCCTTGTCCTACTGCTACAGTCGCTGATGAAGAATCCCTCTCTAGCATCCTTGCAGGCCCCCTTCAGATCCTGGGAGGCTGCTCTGAAGTCTCCACACAGCTTCTCTTCTCCAGGCTGAACAGCCCCTATTTTCTCCCTCTGCAAGATGAGCCAACCCATGATAAGGTGCTACCCAAGTACTGAATCCCCATGGACTTCTGGACCCTTCCTTTGAAACACTCTCACAAATCAATCAGAGACAGACTGATATATTAACTGACATCAAGCTCCGGCATTTTATATGAAATTCAGTCCTGCCCTCCTGCCCTGATTCTTCCCTTTCAGCCAAAGCTCTATTTCTCTAAGTCTTAACATATATCAAAATGATACACTTCTGTATCTTTTCATTCAAGGTTACCTGCAGAACTGGCTTCTTGTGCATACTTACGTTATGGCTGTGGCAAAATGCTGTTCCTCTCATGATCTGAAATAAGTATTTCCGAACCCTGTTGTAGTCTAGTCCATTTGGAAATGCCTCCAGGTCACCAAGTACTCTGTGGTCCACAAATTCAAACACCAAGTACCACCGTTTCTTTTATTTACACACTTCCAGCAGTTTCACGAGAGTCTCATGCCGGAGTTGCTGTTACAAAACAGGAAATATTTTGTGAGAGCTTCACAGCATGTAATAGATAAAGGGTGACCAGATACTTTTAACTGTGACCCAGCCACTGTACTGCCCTGGAATGCTCTTCTCCTCATGGCACTCAGATTCATTTGTTCTTAAAATCAAGCTCATTTATATTTTAGAATATTATTTTGCCTATTTTATTTTTTAAATATTATCTGGAGGATTCCCACCACCTCATGTACACAGACACCTGGGTCTGTAACCTAAAAATAAATAAAACACTGTCTAAGGATGCTTCTTCTTAATGGGGATGCTTAAAATACAGTTTTGTTGTTGGAACACCTCACATGTTCTGCTCCTCACAACAATATCCTCACATAAGAGGTGACACTATCTATCTTACATCATGATCTTGACGAGCTTTAGAGCAAGCTTACGTGCCACATGAGAGAAATCTTGAGGAAGTCAAAAAGAATTCCAGAGGAGCATGTGGTGAGCACATGAGAGACAGTAGGCACTTAGCAACGTCTCCCAGAAAGACTTGGTGTGACAAAGGAAAATCCAGAGCTCCCCAAACTGGCAGGAAATACAAAACAGGCTGGTTTGTACTGGGAAACTCAGCATGCTGCCCAGTATGTCTCTGACAACTGCAAGAAGAATGACAGGACAATTAACCACGAGTGGTGAGCCACAGAGACTCCTTGCTTGTTCCCTGGCCATGCTCACAAACAACTCAAGCAGCAATAAACACAGCTTGTTCCCCTTACACTGGCTGTATCTGTGCCTCAACCCCCTTGAGAAAATATTCCCAAGGTGATGGAAAAATCCTATGCTATTTTGCCTGCTCCCTCAGGCTTCTCTTTTAAGCTCCTGACATACCCAAAGCACTTCTGTTGACAATGCCATCTTAAACACATTCACAACAACTAACACGTGCCAGAATACAAGCACATTGAATAGATAAAAGGAAAGTTCAGCATTCTTACCTGTGATACTGTTATAACAATTAAACAGCTTCTATTAAACTGTGTCTAGTGGATTCACAGGGAAAACTGACCAGCCAAGGACCTGAAGAAATATTTTTTTTTCTCTTATATTATGAAGAAGTGAAAGCTGAAGACAGCGTAGAGAAAAGTATGCAACTTAAATGAATAGGGAAAAAAAAAAAAAAGCAGCAGTATTTTCTAGTTATTTTGTCATAGCACTTTGACCAGACAAGAACCCACCCCCACTTCCGTTACACATTTGTAACATTCGTTTAACACACACCAACAAAACAGATCATGCTACAATGTACAGTTACTTATTAGCTTGGAGTCCAGCAGGGCAACGGCACTAGAGGCTGTACTGCACCAGGGATGGCGTCCAAGGAGGACTGCAGAGCAAAGAGATGGGCAGGGAAATGCTCTGCAGGGCAGGAGCCTGCCAGCCCCAAACCCCACAGGTTCACAGGGAGCATGCAAATGAAGAAACTCCAGAATGATTATACCTCTAGGTGTTTGTCTGCACTGTCAGAGGCTACAATACTGAGCTATGTATGGAAATGATCCCATTTATGCAGGAAAACAAGTTAATGCCCAGCACATCTGGGAGATGGTACGTGCTTTGAGTCAGTAACTGAGTCAAACACCTCAGGTACGTTCCAGACTCACACAGATTCACTTGAAAATTCGAGTCTGAGAGGACAACGCTAGGAGCTGCTGGCTGAGTGTTGAGAAAACGTACATTTCCATTAACTCTAAGGGTCTGAGGCTCTTCATAAGAAGAACCTCTTTTCATAAGAAGGACATGGAGCTGTTGGAGCAAGTCCAGAGGAGGCCATGAAGATGATCAGGGGCTGGAGCACCTCCCATAAAAAGACAGGCTGAGGAAACTGGGGCTGTTCAGCCTGGAGAGGAGGAGCTGAATGGAGACCTCAGAGCAGCCTTCCAGTATCTGAAGGGGGCCTGCAAGGATGACAGAGAGGGACTTTTCTTCAGGGACAAAGTGACAGGACGAGGGGTGATGGTGATGCGTGGATTGACTCCACAACTCGTTAAAGTTGTAAAGTAGGTATGCTTTTTATTCAGCGCTGAGACGCACGGGGATAATTCCTCAGTCATGCCTACCTCAGTGTTGTTTCCCTCTACATTTATTCTCTAAAGTTATATATATTCATAAGGTTGCACAACACGCCTATACATATTCATGTCCTATCCCCGCTTCGTATTATAATGAGCCAGAAGGTCCTCTGCACCTGCGCAGTACCCCCTCTGGTCATGGGCAGGGTCTCAAGATGAAGTAACTGAGTCTTCCTCCTGTGGGTAGGGGTCTTCGAGATGAAGTAAATGAGTCTTCCTCTTCTTGCACTTTTCACCTTTGTCGTGGTTTAAACCCAGTCAGGCAACTCGTTCACTCACTCCCCCCCTTCTTTCCCTCCCCCTACTCCCGGAGGGACGGAGAGGAGAATCGAAAAGAATGCAACTCCCACAGGTTGAGATAAGAACAGTTTAGTAACTAAGGTATAACACAGATCACTACTGCTACCACCAATGATAATAATGATAAAGGAAATAACAAGGGAAGAGAATACATCATCTCACCACCAGCCGACCGATAACTCGCTCCCCCCAGCCCGACCAAGCTCCGACCGATACCTCCTCCAACCCTGCAGTCTCCCAGCCCTTCCGGCTAACTCCCCGTTACATCCTGGGCATGACGTGCTGTGGTATGGAATACCTCTTTGGTCAGTTTGGGTCAGGTGTCCTGTCTCTGCTTCCTCCTGGCTTCCCCTCCTCCCTGGCAGAGCATGAGGCTCACAAAGTCCTTGGCCAAACCAAAACATCGCTTGTTATCAGCTCTGTTCCCGAGCTGAAAGTCAAAACATTGCACTGCACCAGCTACGAAGAAGGGGAAAAATGACTGCTACTGCTGAACCCATGACAACCTTTCAGTCTTCACATATGGCCTTAGGGTTTGGTCCGTATCCCAGCCATAAACCATTTGCTTCTCCCCCTTATCAGTAGATTCAGGCGTGTGCTTTTCCTTATCAATAGCTGCTTATCAATAGGACCAAGTGTCTGCTTTTCCTTATCAATAGCTGCTTATCAATAGGACCAAGTGTCTGCTTTTCCTTATCAATAGCTGCTTATCAATAGGACCAAGTGTCTGCTTTTCCTTATCAATAGGACCAGGTGCCTTTGTTCTGCTTAGCAGGCATTTACAACAGACAGTACTTTTGTTTAAGCAAGCAAATTCTTCTAACCCCCTTGTACAACCCCCCTGTACATTGGTCAACTCTCTGCATCAATGGGTTTAAACTGAAACAGGGGAAGTTCAGGTTAGGTACAAGGAAGGAGTTCTTCCGTGTGAGGGTGGTGAGGCCCTGGCACAGGTTGGCCAGAGCAGTTGTGAATGCTCCATTCCTGGCAGTGCTCAAGGCCAGGCTGGATGGGACTTTAAGCAACATGGCCTAGTGGAAGGTGTCCCTGCCCATGGCAGGGGGTTCGAACTGGATGAGCTTTAAGGGCCTTTCCAGCCTGAACGTGCTCCAACTGAAAAAAGACTTTCCTTCATTGCTTCATCAGACACATCACCTGTGTCTCAACACTTAAAACCAGGTGCCCAGGCCCAAAGACAGCACTTTTCTGTGCATATCTCCTGTGGGACAAGGAGAAAAGGAAAACGCTGCAACTACTGCTAGAGGTTACAAACTACCACTTGCTAGAGGTGGCAAACACAGGGGCTTAAGGTGGCAGAAGAGGAAGCAGAAGAACTGACATATATCCTGGCAAGGAATGCCACACTGCATCCTTGGCATTCATGAAGGAATGCAGCAGGAAAAAAAACTTGCAGAGAAAACAGTCTAGGAGCTTGCAAAAGCTTCTGTAGGAAGAACAAAGCCAAGACAGGAAGCAGAAAGGCCATATGACAAAACACTGAAGAGCACACACACATAGAACCCAGTTCTATGGGTACTTTCCCAGGCAGAGTATATGGAGCCCATCAAGTGAAATACCTTTAACAAATCAACCCACACAAAAAGGCTACACCACATAATGCTGCTGATAAGAAGCTAACAGGCTGCAGGATGACTGGACATTTAGGTGAGCTATAAAGCATCCACAAGTGATACCAGGCAAATCATGTACTCAAACAGCAAAGTACATTAAGCCAGCTGGATTGGCAAGGTTCAGGGGATTTGATCAGTCTTCCTCCTCTAGCCTCTGGCTGGCAGTACAAGCCTTCTAGAAAAGTGCCATTAATAAAATAACATGGATTTTTTTAATTCCTAGGAGGATTTTTTTTCATATCAGGTAACACCAGTACCCCCTCTGGCTAGGCACACTGTCTCATATTCAGATCATCATTCACCTGCAAGTTTTAGAAGTTCAGCATTTCTTTCATCTTCTGCAAATTCTCAGCAGCAAGGTACACAACACAGGGGGACACAGTTACCATCTGGAGACCCTGTGCCTCCCTTCCACATAACTTTCCCCGCTGAATACAGGTCACATAAACAAGTCAGGTTTAGCCAAACAAATCCAGCACAGCACTCATCTGAGAGGAAAATCAGCTCTACAAGGCTGCAACTCAAAGGTTAAATGAAGATAGCATGGCTTGGCTGCTCCCTGAAATACACAGGGCCCAACTAAGCCTCTTTTGGTTTGGACTTAGTTACACTTTGGATACTGTGGTCAGAAACAACCGCTTTTCCTTTCAAGACTGACCAAATGGCTTAAATTTACACCTATCCTACAACTTCACTAGACAAATATCACTCTTTAAAGGACTATTTATGAAGGAGTTTCAAGAGCCGGTTTCTCCCTAAGAACCCATCAACTCTCTGCAGGTGTATCTCACCCACACCATGAGCTCTCAACAACTACCACCATTACTGCAAGAAAAGCCTCAAAGCACAGACATCAGGTTACTATTCTGCTTGAAGGTGACATTTGCTTTCTTGAAGGTATTTAAACACCTGACTACAATATGCCTGAGCAATACAGACGCCTTCCAGCTGAATGAAGGGTGATGAATTTAACCACAAAGCCATAAAAAACCCATTGTTTTGGCCAGGCTTTGTGGCCCCCTGCTCACCTTCAGCAGTTTGATCTCCCTCACGGGGATATTCCTCACCGTGTTATCCCTGCTCTCCAGGAACTTCTTGATGGCAACAATCTGCCTGCTCTCTTTGTTTCTGCACTTGGCCAGCCACCCTGTAGCTGCCTTCCTCCACAAGGCCCAGCACTTGGTACTTCTCCATGGACGTGGATTTTCTTCCCCCAGGGTACCGGAAGCTCTGCTGCTGGAACGGACCACGGCCTCCTGCCCTGTCACAAGGGTGACAGCCTGCCTGTCGCAGCAGCTGCGCTGTGCCGTACCGCACGCCTGAGCGAGCTGCTCCGAGGGATGGCGGGGTCCTGAGGTAGCGCTGCTCCTGTTTTGGGTTGATTTGTTTATTATTTGCTGAAGGGCTCACCTCCTTTGTGTGTGTGTCCGTGCAGCCCCCAGTGGGGTGACATCAAACCTCCTCCTGCTGGCAGATGCCACCAGGTATCTTGCACTTTTCTTACACAGTAACTTTGGCGGAGAAGCTCGGTGGCTCTTCTCAGCTAAGGTCATTGGTAAGGTATGGATGTCAGCTAGACCAGATTCCTTAGTTATTAATAAATCATCAACATACTGTATCCATATAGATCTGTTGGTTTTAAACATAGCCTCCTACGAATCCACTAGAAGTTTAGAAAACTAGTTGTAGGACACAGTGAAGCCCTGAGAGAGATCTATCTCTATTAGCTGCATCTTTCCCTAAGTAATTAAAAAATAAGGTATTACGAGCCCAGATGAATAGGTCTACTGATTTAAGGTGACTCTTCATCAGGGACTGTAGCAATAGCAGAGGGGGGGTGTGATGGGTTCAAACTTAAACGGGAAGTTCAGGTTACATACAAGGAAGAAGTTCTTTACTGTGAGGGTGGTGAGGCACTGGTGCAGGTTGCCCAAAGAAGCAGTGAATACTCCACCCCTGTCAGTGTTCAAGGCCAGGTTTAACGGAGCCTTGGGCGACATGGTCTAGTGTGAGGTGCTCCTGCCCACGGCAGGGGGTTGGAACTGCATGATCTTAAGGTCATTGCCAACACAACCAGCCTGTGATTCTATGAAGAAAATAATAATAATGCTGTATTTATTAGACATCTAATTAGTTATCTAATTATGTCCATTAATTAAAAGGTTTAAGACCATATCCTCAAAGCATCTTGCATTTAGTAGGGACTAGGTGAAGGGAAGGGCTGCAAAATTTGGGAAGCTTTCAGGCCATGGAGGGCATCCCCCTTCTCGATGATCTGGCTGGCCATGGTAATTCCATGGGTCTCCTGTTCCTCAGGTCCTACCGCTCCCTAAATGTCCTCCTCTGATGTCACCTTGAAGGACTCGGGCTGGTGGCCCACATCTCACAACCTCTGAACCCTTGAAGAAAAGGTCTCCATTTGCTCTGAAGAAATACATGAACACCCAGCAGGTCTGGCTGCTGCAGTATTTCTCTTTGGGAAAGGTGTATCACCCTTGCCAAAATACCAATTCCTTGGAAAATATCCTCATGAGGCATCATATGCCAATAATACTTTCTGAAAACTTTATCATATTTCTCTTGAGTTACATGGGTATGTGTCACCTCCCATCATCCCTTTCTGATTGTTATTTCTCCTTCACCCTCATTCCCACTCCTATATGTCATCACTGTAATGCACAATGCATTTCCAGGAAAAAAAAAAGACAATAAACCTGGGCCCAGTTGGCATTATTTTATTGTATTCTTCCCCCCTTCTACTGCTCATCATTACTGTAGTGAGTAATGCTGGTTTCTACCATCAGCAACATGACAATCATTTCTTTTGGCTACTGGTTGCCCTGGGGGTTTCTTTTTTGTATTTTTTACTTTTATATCCATAACATCACTGTTAATTTATGATGCTCGGTGTTGGTGCAGTGTATTAATTTAAACCACAGAGATTGGAGGTGGTGAAGGAGGGAGGTTGTCTCACTAAACCATATAGTACCCATGCTCCAGACATGTTTGCCATCCTGTTGGTATCTCTATGGCACTGATCAAGCTTTGGTAACTTGAGAAAACCCTTTTTCTCTCATAACATGATGTCTTGCTGTACCTCTCAGAAACATTCATCTGGACAATGCCCAACACAGTCTCAGTTCTGATTTCATTTTTCTATTTTCTTTGATAGACATCACGGTCTCTGCCAGAATCCTCCACAGAATCAACTAGGTTGGAAAACACCTTTAAGATCATCAAGCACTGCAAAGCCCACCACAAAACCATGTAACTGAGGGCCTCATTTACACAGCTTGTGAACACTTCCAGGGACGGTGATTCTACCACTGCCCTGGGCAGCTTGTTCCAATGTCTGACCACCCGCTCAGTGAAGAAATTGTTCCTAATGTCCAGTCTAAACCTCCCCTGGCACAGCTTGAGCCCATTTCCTCTTGTCCTGTCACTTGTTACTTAGGAGAAGAGATCATCATAGTTAAGCCTCAGGAAGACAAATACTGGGTTTTAGATGAGCCACACAATCAGTTCATACTTTTGATAACTAAGAATCATACCACTTAGAGAAGTTAGAAATCAAGTAACCTGGTGCCCTGAGTGATCTTCTAGGGCGGACATTACAATGGTAGGGTTTTGGGTTTTTTTTGTTGTTTTTTTTTGTTGTTGGGTTTTTTTTTAATTAGTGAACTTTTTTTCACATACAAGCTGTACTGAACATATGGCAAAACACAAATGTCACCGCATACTCTATTCCTCTTCACCTCACAAAGCAGAGGGGAATCACAGAATGGTTTGGGTTGGCAAGGACCTTAAGATCATCCAGTTCCAACCCCTGCCATGGGCAGGGACGCCTCACACTAGATCACGGCACCCAAGGCTCTGTCCAGCCTGGCCTTGAACACTGCCAGGGATGGGGCATTTACTTCTCTGGGCAGCCTGTGCCAGTGCCTCACCACTCTCACAGTAAAGAGCTTAAATTTAAAAGTAAAACCAACACCTGTGGCACACAGCAGTGATAAGACAGTCGATCTCGAGATGCTACTGCCTTCTTTTTAAGGCGGTTTTGTGGTAAAACACCTCACTTTCTTTCCCAGATGACAGAGCCTCCCTCTGTGCCTGTTTAAGTTCACTCAAGACCATCCCAACTACCTCACACCAACCAAGACAATTCAATCTTTCCTCTCTCTCCTGTTACGTGAGCTCCTGGAAGAGAAATAAATACCTTCAGCGGCGTTTTTTAAGGAAAGGAGCCTTTTAACGCCTACTCCTGGGGAAGGGCTGCGCGACTTCCTCTTCGCTCTGGGTTAGGCGGACCGGGCTGGTCCCCTCAGGGCGGAGCGAGGCGGGGCTAGCGCCCGGGCATGCGGCGTTCGCCGCTGCGCCGCGGTCATGAGGCGTTGTGTGTAGAGTTTCCGCCCAGCGTTCGGCCCTGTGTGTGTGTGTGTGTGTGTGTGTGTGTGTGTGTGTGTGTGTGTGTGTGTGATGGTGGGTCTGAACTGAGTGCGCCTGAGGGGAGTAGGAGGAACCGTTGAGGAGCTCAGGATGCGATGGGGAACTGCTGGGCGCAGTGGTGCTCCGGCCTGTTCTACCGGACGGACGCCGGCCGGCTCCAGCGCGGCGGAGGGTAAGCAGCATCCCAGCAGCCCCGCTCCCTGCCCTCTCCGGGGCGGGGAGGTATTGAGGCCGTCTGGCCCCGCCTTCGAAGCGGCCGGTGTCGTGGCCGACCCGGATGGGAGAGGGGCGGAACCGTCGCTGCGGTATGCCGGACGGGTGAAATGGCGGGGGAAGGCGGCTCGGCTCCGTGCGGGTGTTTAGTAGTTGGCTGCGGGAACAGCCCTGCTCCTGTTCCTCTTGCCAGGTGTTTTTTTCCCGGAAGCAGCGTAAAGAGGTGTATGGGTCGGTTGCTGAAATCTATTCAGGCTGCTGTGGTTGTGGGAAGGTAGAAACCCCCAGCGTTTCCTGGAGTATGGTGCCTTGTTCCCTGTGAGTGAGGGGCTGAGCGGTACAGAAGCTCAGGAGCAGCCTGATTCCAACAAACTGGCTTTTATCTTGGAAATGTTGGTTTCCACGTTTTCTTCTGTGCAACCAGTTCGTGGAAGAGCAGTGTACAACAGGGGAAGGGCATGTTACCTGAAGAAGAACTTGGCTTTCTTCCATATAATAATCTGTATTCAACAGTTACAGATCCCTTACTTTTGCTAGTAACATAATAGCTCTAGGTAGACATGCAGAGCATTTTACCCATCACAAACTCACGACCTCTGCTTCCACACCACCTGCAGCAGGCAAATTCCATCTTCTGCTTGTCCTTCTAGGAGAACTTGTCAGAGTAAAGAGTGGAAGACCAGGACAAGTATGTGTGTGGATACCTGCCTGTGCTGGCAGAGCTCTGTAGCAGAGGGTATGTGAGCAGCTGAAATGAAACAGCCAGCACTTACCTGTCTCTTTCTTGTGCTGAGAAAAACAGGTAATTTTCAAGAGGTTCTTGTTTTGCAGGTGTTTTTTCCTGAGCCTCAACTCATGGATTTATGCCCTTTTTTTCTGCAGTCAGGGGTAGTGACTGTAAGTCTCTGGAAACATGTACTTACCCTTTAAATTATTGCTTTGATCTGAGTTAAAATATTGGTTGTAGGGTCTCCTTGGTCCTTTATTTCACCCCCAGTAACTTTTAACTGACCTAATAACAGACTGATGATCACTGGATAGGAGACAGAGTCCAAAAAGGCACAAGACTTCTGGTTGTAACAGCAAATTCAACATAGATGGTTATCTTTTAACCTTCTGTTTGCTCTAAAGTGACTATCACCTGTGTTTTTTGTTAGTTTTCCCCTTGTATTTTTTTTTTCTTATACTTTTGCAGTACTTTGTATCATTTGCTATTAAGTATTTTCCTCCTGCTGTGTGGTGGGAGGTGCAGGGAATTGTAGTAAAAACAGAATCATAAATACGTCTTGTAAATTTTCTGTTTGTTAGATTGCTGCCAAATTCTGCATATTTGGCTACTTGCCAAACAGCATCACATAACTGGGTACCTTATTGAGTTAATGGTGATCACTCAGGTTCCCCCCCCAAAAATAGTGCTTCATTATTTTTAGATGCTCCAAGATTTAAGTGTATGAAACAAACCATGAATGGAATGAAGTATAGAGTTTTTAAGAAGCCTTTCAGTATCCTGTAAGGTTATAAATCGCTTTTGCTTGGAATTGTGCTTAGAATCTTGGAGACTTGGGTATGAGTTGCTGCAGTGATTTTGGCATTCATGGAGAGCATGTGCAGAGAGAGGTGAAACACCAAAACCTTTTTTTTTAGTGTAGTGTAAGTTTAACCTCCTGTAAATGTACCAACTTCCAGCTGGTAATTTGTTTTAGGAAGTTTCCTTATGCTTCCGCTGAAATAGTTTTGCTCGAAGTACTACAAGCTGCAGCTGTAATTAGGAAGTAGGCCATGGCTAATTTGTCACTATATTCAACCATAAGTATTCCTCTTTACTCCTGGAGGAGTGTTTAAAAGAAAGGGGAGGAAAAAAAAAGAGGGAGAAAAGTAGCTATAATTTGTCTTTGTTTTTTTTTTGTTGTTTGCTTGTTTTGTTTAATTTGGTTATATATCTGGGTTATTTATTTACATTCTTATTTGGTTAGTTTGGGAGAAGGTATGTAGCAAAACTGAAACAATCCTTTTTGTCACTCGTGTGGAAAAAGTAAGTTTATCTCATGCCCTGGTTTTCATAGAGTAAAGGTTCATTTTTAGTGACTTTTTTCCCCACGTAATCTGTAAAAGCTGGTTCTTCTTTTCTTAAATAAAGTAACATGACTTTGTGTAAAAGGAGAATAAAGCAAGTGTGTATGGGGTGCTGCAACGCTAGTCTTATTAATAGCTCTAGCTCTTTGAAGACTGATCTGACAGTCTCTGTTGATCTGATGGCCTGTTAGCTAGATGGTTTTCTTTAGTTGCCATCAAACCTAAGAGCCTGTTTTAGAAGATAATGAAACAGGAGAGCTTAAAGGAGAATACTAAAAGCTGTATGCATTTTGACTGGTGACTGTTTTATTTCAACTGAATTTACTCAGCAGAGCTGTGCACTGTGAGATGTGCTGCTGTGCAGACGGAAAGAAAGGGTACGCAATGAGGAAGAAGTGGGTTGTGCAACAAGTTGCCAGGGGAGATGTACCCTAACTGACTTACAAAGAAAAATGTTCTAAGGATGGAAATGTGATGGAATTAAAATAATTCAGGCTTTGGCTGGGTGTTACTTTTAGTATAGTAGAAGCAGGTACTGGTTGAAGTATGGAACAGTCTTCAAGTATATAAGTGCCTGAGTTTATTCCTGATATCACTCAGTGCCTGCAACTGGAATCTGTTTTTTAAATGTGAGATGGATGTTGTACTGAAGCACTGGTTTGCATTTGAGTGTACTTTTGGGTGATGGCCAAACCTCTTTCGCTAGGCAAAAATGTATTTGGGTAACTTAATGCTGTATTGTTTTTCATAGAGGATGGCGTTAAGCTGAAGAACCAAGATGACTGACTCCCTGTAGAAAACTAGACTGAATAATTTTATGTAGTTGAAAAGCACTGTCTTGACCTCTTCATCATCACTTTTCTCTGAGGTTCAACCTCCTAGCTGTGCCAAGCTGTCAAAATAAAAAATATTGTTTGACATTCATGTTGTATGAGATGCTGTGCTAGTGCCACGGTGAGCAGTGGTGTTTTCAGAAATTGCCTGGAATAATGTTTTGTGAAGGGCAAAATGCATTAAAAGTAGTGCAGAGCATGCCAAGTGTCTATAATGTCAAGCTCAGCATCCTGATGAGGGGTTTCTCTTCACTTGAAGGCATTCATCTTCTCTCCAGTTCCACAGATGTTTTCATGCTTTGTCTTCTTTCTGCTGTGGTAGTGATGCAGAACCCGACCTAACAAGTAAATGTGTCTAATGCATGAAGATTTTATGCTTATTTCACATTTAACATATTTCAACTGCTATTTAAAATTATCAGGCTTATTTTCCTTCTGCTGTGAATTGAGGACTATTCTATAGTGTAACTGTAGATTTTTCTTTCCAGATCCAAGTATTTTAGAACTCATTCAACAGGAGAACACTTCACTATAGAGGTGAGTGCTTACATTTCTAGTGGTTGCAAAAAAAGCCAGTAGGAAGACCTGAATTCTAGCAGTGTCTTTAACCCTTTTTGCATTTTGTGTACTCTGAAATATTCTGGGTTATTCTAAACCGAACTGCTGGGTGGCAAGATAGTGGTTGTTACAGCACCTCAGAACATTAATACCTTATCTCACCCTAATCATTATTTGAAAGAAGAGAAGTATCTGTTATGATATCTTACTCAGCACTGGAGGATTCTAAAGTCTGCTTATTCCATTGCTGTGTAGGGACGGATTTTTCTTTTCTGTGTAAATGCAGGATATCTAGTTCTTCACTCCAGGATCATCAATCTGATCCTAGAAAAATCCACTTTGCTCACCACAAAGATCCTTTCTTGGCCATTGAATAGCACCCCTTTTTTGCCAAGGGTAGTATGAGGTTAACTTGTTTGAGACTCTCAGAATAACCTGGTTTACTTTCTCTGAGTGTTCCTTACAGTCTAAAATTCCTGGACTGTTCAGATTACCCCTGTTACTAAGAACAAAATCTGTTTTAGTGTCCAACTTCCCGGAGTGAGAGAGGGTTTCTGTGGCAGAAATATGATAGGAAAAAGAAAGTTTTGTCCTCTTCCCAAACTGTTATTCATAGTCAGTCTACAGCTATTAGTTAATGTACAGATCAAACAAGAAGTCTTGCTGTAGGAATTGACTTCTGTGTTTGGTGTATTGACTATGTGTAATATTACTGTACTGAAAATAGTACAGTGAATTTCTGTTTGTTTTCATGTGATAGTTCAAGTTAGCTGTTTTTAGAGTACTGCGTTGAAAGTAATTGTCTTCTGTAAATTAAATACATCTTGAAACACTTTTGGATAAGCAGCACAGTTGATATGTGAGATAGAGGTTGTGTGTGCTACACTTCTTATATTTTCTACATTATTAAACTGAGTGGGAGCTGTACTGTTGTGGTTTCAACAAAGTCAGCCATAAATAATGCAGTTGCTCTCTCACTCCCCCTCCCCTTTTTGCCCTCCCCCTGCTCCCAGAGGGATGGGAAGGAGAATCAAAAGAATGCAACTCCCAGGGGTTGAGATAAGAACAGTTTAGTAACTAAGGTATAACACAAATCACTACTGCTATCACCAATAATAATAATGATAAGGGAAATAACAAGGGAAGAGAATACAACACCTCACTACCCGCTGACCGATAACTCGCCCCTCCAGCCCGACCAAGCACCAACCAATACCTAGTCCAGCCCCGCAGTCCTGGCCCTTCCGGGTAACTCTATTACATCCTGGGCATGACATGCTGTGGTATTGAATACCTCTTTGGCTAATTTGGGTCAGGTGTCCTGTCTCTGCTTCCTCCTGGCTTCCCCTCCTCCCTGGCAAAGCATGAGGCTCAGAAAGTCCTTGGCCAGACCAAACATTTGAGCAGTAACTAAAAACATCGGTGCTGTCAGCACCGTTCCCAGGCCGAAAGTCAAAATGCAGCTCCACACCAGCTACTAAGAAGGAGAAAAATGACTGCTACTGCTGAACCCAGGACATGTACCATGCCTTCCCCTGCTTGTATTATCATGCTTCGGCTACACAGAGTTATTGGCAATCTTACAAGCTAATGAGATTTCATTTTTATCAGGACCCTCAGGTAAGTTGTAAAAACATGAGTGTGTTTTAATTTTGACTTTTCTCCTTTTAGGCAAATGTAAGCTTTAGGAAAAGGAACATTGGTAAGAAGATAGGTCCTACTCTGAAAGCAATACTGCAGATAAAGTAGGGACTTCCATAAATGCTGTTACAGTCCCTGGAGTATCACTGGAGCAGTGCTTTTACAAGACAGATTAAATACATAGTTGTATTTGCAGTATGTGTTTAGTGACTTGTCGCATTGAATAGTAAAGATTGTTTACTGTTTTCTCTCTGCAGTTTGAGAACCTGGTGGAAAGTGATGAGGTAGGTACCTAGATGATATTGTGAAACCTGCTAGTACAACCCTCAGAAGTGGTTCCAAGAGCTGTATTTTCCTTCCACTTTATGTGATGCTGTAACTTAAATCACAAGGAGTTGTTTTTTTTTAATTCTGAGTTTTGCTTGCTCTAGTAATAAGTATTAAACGCTTTGGGAGAAATTAAGACCTAAGAGAAGAGAAAACTCATTCGGGGCAGTATGGGAAGTAACCCCTTTGGGAAGAGAGCATTATGAAGGCAAAAAGAAAAGAAGGGGGTGGGGGTGTGGAAACATAGAGGGCGGAGGGAAAGACTTGATAGTTTGCTTCTGGTGTAACTCCTGTTTAAGACTCAGCAAATACTCTCTCTGAGAACAGAAACAGACCAGGGTTGCTTTGCTAAGGAAAGTTGTGGGTGTCTTTGCAGTTCTTGTGGTTATGGGTAAACTGTACTTCAGAAAAATAGAAGTTGGCCTTTAAGCTTTATACATTTAATACAGCTTGATAACAGGTGGGACATACACCTCATTTGCAACACCCTGCTTTGTATTTTAAAACATGAGGCCTGATAGTTTATAAACAATTGGAATATTTATTATCAGTTGGAGGAACCTGTTTTACTGAGCCATTTCAGCTGATGGCACAGAAGTTTGTTTTTGTTTTTTTTTTTTCCAATTCCAAATTAAAGGAGAGGATTTGTCTGCTTCCTCTTCCCTGCCAACCACCTTCCCCTCCAACTACAAAACCAATATATAGGATAAACTGATTTCATACTAGGGTTTTTCCTATCTTGAAATTGATTGATGTGATTCTCATAAACTCAGACTTTTCTCTTTTTGTAACAGGGAGAAAGCCCAGGAAATAGTCACAGGTAAGACTTTGAGCTTCCAGACCTCTCTTTCCCACTGCTCTCCTGCTGTGACTATTAAATTTTTAACAGTTCCTGTCAAACCTCTTCTGTCTTTAGTTGTCAGATACATGGAAAGGATGGATGTCAAGCTAACCTCGATGCTTAACCCTGTCAGAACAGTTCAAATGATAATCCATCGTGCAAAAGCTGTACGAGACAGTTAAAACAGTATATTGCAAAGAGAATCTTGTTCCCAGAGTCTTTTTACAAGTTAAATGGGTGTTAGTGATACAGCTCCAGCGAATTTTCTGTGACTGTTTTAATACTGACATAAGCAGCAGGGACTTGAGGTCTGCACTACAGGAAACCTCTGCAGGGTATGCTTTATTGGGCAACTTGCAGATGTTTTGTGGTGTTTGAGAGCTCCCAATTTTTGCTGTCAGTGATCCCAAAGAAGTGATGTAGCAAGCCTTGTAATTTATAATACTGCTTTTGCAGTCTTGTTTGTTAGATGCATAAAAGCAGACATAAAATAGAGAACAGATGAAAGGGGAACAATTTATAATTGGAGGAACCAAAACAAGCAAGAAAAAAGTGACATTTACACTGCAGTGATGTTAACCTATTCCATTAGTTCTGTTAGTGAACAGTGCTTTGTAAATATGCTTTCTATAAAGATACAAAAGGTCCTTTTCTGAGAGTAAGGAGAGACAGCATTGTCTTGAGTAAACTGGAATTTTGGAGCTCTCTTCTCATGAGGAGCAGGCCAGAAACACAACTTGTTGAATTTGCATTAGAGGACCAGTCAAGAAGGACTTGCGTATGTTTAATTGTGACTTGCAGTTATCATACATAAATAATTGATAGAGTCTCTGTTTCTCCCATGCATTTAGACCTCTGACTGAGGAGGAAATTGCTGACTTGAAAGACAGACATTATGACTTCATTGCTGAGAAGCAGAGAGTTGTTGATATGAAGCTTCAGGCAGAGGTAAGCGGTTGCAATGACATGGTGTGGAGATTTTCTCTTTAAAACTAGCTAAAATCAATCATGAGCACAAGGAGAGTCCATTGACATGAATGAAAAGATGGGGTTTTGTTCATCAGTTGGTATTTTGTGGTCTACAAGATGCACAACTAAGTTTGCATCAGAGATGGCTGCTTTTTAATAGCCTCTTGGCTGAAAAATTGTATAGACTGGTGCTACAATTGACATCTGTTAAATTTGAACTTTTTTAGGAAAGAACAAATGGGGAGTATATTTGGTTCAACTTGTGCTCGTTTTTTCCCAGAGCATTTCTTAAGGAAAAGAAACCATAATTTGTAATTTTGTTTTAGTGATATAGTAATTAATGGAATATAATGTGGAATACAATATAGAAATTGAGAATGACTTTTTAGTAAAGGACCAATGAAATATGCAACTGAAAAGATATGTCTTGCACTACAGTTCCTAGTGAAATGCAGTGTGCATTTCCAACAGTTGCTAGTCATGATGTTTATTCAATAGGGTAATGTTTAGTTATCTGAATTTCTTGGAATGGTTGGTGAGGGGAAAGCTGTTAGATTCAGCTAATGAAGAAAAATGTTTTAGTTATGGTCTATTTTCCTTCATTTTTATTTTCTAGTAGCACTTTTGTTTTATTGATCTTATGGCTTTATTGATAGGAAGATAGATAGGTTCTGCTTTTGTTAACCATTACTATTCTGTTCATATACAGTTAGCCTTAGAAGAGGAGAAGTTAAGACTAGAAGAGGAGGCTTTATATGCTGCACAGCGTGAAGCAGCCAGGGCAGCAAAGCAGAAAAAGCTTTTGGAGGTGAGGGGAAACAGACCCCAATGTATACCAGAGCTTCTTTTTCTGTTTCTATGTATGCAGACTTTCCTAATACTCTTTACATCTCAGAAATGTAATGGGGAAATTGCTTTGGCTCGTATATTCCAGTAGAAAAAGAAATGCACTCTTTGAAAGTGCAGCTGAAAATTATCGTGGTTGTTTGAAATGGCTTATGTGGCTGAGTATAGATTTTGAATGAGATAATGATTTTAATGTATAATTAGCTTAACGGACTTCTTGCATTGTGTAGAAGTTACTAACTTTAATGTGATCTGTGATAATTTCTAGTTAAACACTCTGAAATTAAGCATACATTGTGACATGATTTAGGCATGTAAAATATACTTTATATATTTGTGCACTTAATTATTCCTTTTCTCTGTGGTTTGTGGTAACATGAAGATAAGTGCTTCCAAGGCATCTGTGAATTTACTGCTGGCCCTGCTTGGAGCTTACCTCCTGGGGCCCCTTCCCCTCTCCCTGCATCACTTCTCTCATTTTGTGATTTGTATGTGTAGTAGGCAAAGTCTGGTAATGGCTTAAATAGTCTTTATTTAATGTGTCTGTGCCTACTTTCACATGTCTGGTGTTCCCACTTTTGGAGCTTGGTCAAGTAAAATGAAAGCCCACATCACGTTTTCCTGTTTCTTTGAAAGCATGCTGTTTAGATGGTTTTCATGTTGCAGTTCAGTTAGGTATTATCAGTGCATTTAATATTTGTTGCTGTATTACTCACCTATCAAAGTATGTGCTCTGACATGAATTTCAGATTGCCAGTAATGTGTATGAGAAAGAATGTTTTCACTTTGTAGAGTGTGTTTGGCTGCAGTTGTAGGAGACAGCCTGCTACATGTTATGTGTTAAATTAGAAGTAAATTTTCCAAAATTCAGGTTTAGACCAATTGTAAAAGTCTGTGGTCTGCAATAGGTATTGGGGAGATCTGTAACCTTCATGTATTGTCAATATTCAAAAGAGAGTGAAAATTGTTGTTCCAAGGCTGATAGTGATGACTCAGATTTCATCTAATATTTATGTTGCAAGTATAGGTCTCATTTCACATTTCTCTTTCCAGCCTCTTATTGTTTGGTAGGGGAGGGCTGATTCTTTGTGACCTTTTCCTTGTCTGCCTTTCTTTGTGGTTGTTTTGTGTGGGTTTTGTTTGTTTGTCAGGTTTTTGTTTCATTTTGTTTTTTTTGGAGGGGATTGTTGTTGGTTTTTTTTTTTTTTTGCTCTGTTGTTTTGTTGTTTTTTTTTGGGGGGGGTGTCATTTTTGTTTGGGTTTTTTTCTTTGTTTAAAAAATTTTTTTTGATCTGTATACACCTATTCTAGTCAGGACCTAAGATTAAATGCGTTATAGAGATTTTAATTTCCTCCTCTTCTAAAATTAGTACCACTTACTTCCTTTGGAAACAGCCCATACAGATTTCCAAGGAAGCATTTTTGTGGAGATTGGCATCAAACATTTAATCTTTCTAAATAAACTAGAAACTTTTTTTTGAATGCGTAACTCCAGCCTTTGCTGTTTGTAGGCAGCAGCCTTTTACATGAGAGAATGGCTTTTTCATTAGAAATGTGGTAGCCCTTTAAAACTAATTTGGCTTGTTGATGTTGCCCTGCTAAATGTCAGGGTTTGAAGCAGTGGAGAACTCTAATATGCATGTATCCTGGACCTCACATTGGTAGATATTTATATGTGACCTGGCAGAACAGATAATTGAAATTAGTTATTATGTGGGTATATGAGTCTTAAAAGAAAATTGTTGTGTATGCCAGTAACCGACTTTTACAGCTTGTGACTATGTTGGTGCCAAATTCATGTCCCTTTCTCCCTGCATACTTAAGTCTTCTCGCCTCTAATTACCATTACATGATACTTCTGCTTCTTCTGCACTTCCCATTGCCTTACTGGTTTCCATCTGCTTATTCTGATACTCTTTATTTAAATACCCAAGATGGAAAAGTGTTCCAAGAAATGAAGCCATCAGCATTCGGGATTGAAAAGTACTCAATCTAGTGCAGTTATCTTGCAAGACAATTTACCCAATGAAGTTCAAGTCAACATTAAACATTCTGATTTATTTACCTCTGCTTTCCTTTTGTTGGGACAGATCCATTAAATTTGAGAATAGTTTTTTTCAGAAGGCTAATAGCTAGATACATCAGACCTGGCTGTAAAACTAGCTTATTCATTTTTAGCTTAGTCTTTGACACAATCAGTGAACAATTACTACTTCATAACTGATTCACCTTGAATCACAGAGTTGATGCGCTCAGTTTTTATGCTCCCACTTTTCTCAAGGCAGGGGAAAGAAACTTAAGAGACCTCAAAATGTTTAAACCCTAAAACTTAAGCAGAACTCTACTTCCATGACATCTGTTGTTTCTCCTGTAACTGCAAAGTAAATGCATTTATGGCTTCTGTCTTGCATTTTTTGTTCTGGTTTTGCCTATGGATACTATGAAAGCTTTCTACCTTAAGAGTGTAGAGGTAGTAATACTTTTGGCTCAGCAAGGGAACAAAGCTTTTATTAATATAGATGAAGCACTTGGTGAGGATACAGGCAGCTGGAGGAGCTGGTGGTATTGATTTTTACAGAGATAAAAGGACCTGTAGGAAATGTTTCTTTTAAAATGATAGGCTGACTGTTCGTGGGCACAGAGCAAAAGGAATCAAACATAACCCAGGTGCTGAAAATACCCATTGGTTAAGAAGAGAAGGCTAGAGGACAGATATAGTCAAAAATGAGGTGGTGTTCACAGGCTGCTAGCCAAATTAATGCAGATTTTGTTGGTTTTTTTTTATGGTGCATGAAATAGGTAAAATGTTGAGAGCTCTGTTCAGCAAGCTATCTGCTTTTAAATCTGAGCTATAAAAACAATACTACTTCAGTCCCTTCAATATCCTAAAATTTGATCTTCACTTGAAAGTCGGTTTTTTCCCGGGTCATACTGAAACTCCTCCAGGGCCAGGGCACTGCTCCCTCTAATATCTCAGATAAAGCAACACTTATCTGAGTGTTATCTACATTACTCTGAGTGATTTCATTCAGCTTTTTCAACTGTTTTTTCTTGTTTTGATAGCAACGTAGACAGCAAAGGATAACCCAGAGAGCACATGCTATTAATAATGGAGAATATCAGAGGTAAGTTGTAAAGTTTTATTCATGATAATAGAGAGCTGTGACTGTTTTTACTCCTGTTCCTCATTTCCCCCGACCAGAAAAAGAAAAACTCACTGCATTTTTCAAACCTTACACATTTCTAAGTCAGAATTGGTTTCATTCTTTGCAGTTCTCTTCATACCAAGTAGTTGCCGAATTCAAATTAGTTACCATTAATCTGCAAAATAGAGGGTAGCTTGCATTCATTCTGGTTTTCACTGTAATTATTAGACTGACGCATACAAAATTGAACTCACTCCCAGCTAGTTACACATGCACACCCAATCAGTGGTTTACAGCAAAAATGTGTTTATATGTGTAATTTTTGGCTAATATAAAAATACCTTTATTATTCAGAACCCTGTTTGAAATGGCCAATAATAATACACACTAATCAAATGGGGAATTGGTTTATCTAGTCTGCCTGTTATTTCATTAATACTATAAATTTAATGCTCTTCACTCCCACCTTCTGTGTTGGGGGGGGGGGGGGGGGGGGAGGGAAGGGAGAGGGGAGAGAAAAGCAAAAGTAATCTGAAGAAATTTACAGTTGAATGGTATCTGAGTTTAGAAAAGACCCTGAAATCAGACAACTGTTTTTGGATGGAAGAGAACGGGGTAGGAGGGATTTTTGGTTATGGAAGTATGTTTAGAAAATGAGCTGTAAAAACCGAGGTTTTATGGTGTGGGAGGAACAATACAGATTTTAGGAATGAAAGACTACAAGTAGCAGGATTTGAATTCATTAGTTAAAAAAGGGAACTGAAAATTAAGGAGGCATTCTCTAAAGTGACAAAGATTGAGAGGAAGTGCAGTTTTGTGACAGAAGTGAATTTTTAACTGAAAATGCTACTGAAAATTGAGCAGGAGCTCAGGAAGGGAGACAATGTGATGAGTAGGAATGGGAAAAGCATAAAGATTTAGTTAAATGTGTATGTGCTTTGTAGCATAGAACTGGGAGGGAGGGCATGTTGATTAATGTATTTTATAGCCTCCTGAGAGGCTATAAAAAAATAAAATATGTGCATTGTATTTGCAGCTCAGTGGCAGAGGAAGGCCTCGATTCTTTCTTAAGAAATACAAAATTCCAGTATGACACTTTTCGCAGTAGTAGTAAGTCTTCCTTTTATTTTTATGAGTGTCTTTAAGTGATTGAGGAGCACAGAATGCTCTTTCTTTTCCTAGATAAATATAATAACTTATTTTTATACCACATGTATATAAAATGTGTATACATGTATCTATTAAAAAAAAAATTGATAGAACCTTTTCCTCTAATCCCTGGTGCTTCAGGTTTTCGAAACTCGGCATTTGTAACTTGTACTACAGCCACTGCAGCTCCCAAAGGCAAGTTAAGTAAGCAAACAAGTCCTGTGCATGGATTTTATTTTACTAAGGTTTTCCAACTGGCTCCATGGAGGCAACATCAATGCAGTGAACTTATCTTGTAAAGCCCAGCTGTGTATTAAAGATGCCAATGTGTGTGTGTAGCTTTTTTAACAATCTCTCGGCAAAATAAGTGGAATCATACTAATTGGTGGTTTTTTTTTCCTAATGAAGTGAGAGGATTCAGCTGACTATATTTAAAAATTCCACTAACTATTTAGAGGAAAATGACTTTATACACTTGGATCCATGTCTTGATGACAGTACATGATAGTCACTAAGCAATTGTAGGACTGATGTTAGTTACTTCTTGGGAAACAGTGTGTGCAGTTTGAGGTTTTTTGGAGGGAAAGGTTGATTTGTTTGTTTGGATTTTTTGTTTTGTGGGGTTTTTTGTTTGGTTGGTTTGGTTTTTTGATTTTTGTCTTTACACAAGCTTACCCAATTTCTCTATAGTTCTAGTTAGTCTTGCTTAATGTCCTCGTGCAATATCTTAGTAATGTTGACTATTAAAAAGTTACTGTAGACACTTTGAAGTGATGGATGAAGTGTTTTTTCAAGTGTTCCTGAGCTTTAAAGGCCACAAGGCACAAAACCTCCTTTCTTTGAGAGTTGTTTTACATATTGAACCTCAAATTCAAGTATGTATATGAATTAAAAATAGTTTATTTGGTTTTGTTTTTTTTTGTTTGTTTGTTTTGCTTTGGGGGTGGGGGGTTGTTGTGGGTTGTTTTTTTTTTTTATCTAGGACTTTCATCTGATGCTACAGTGCTTACACCCAACACGGAGAGCAGTTGTGACTTAATGACCAAAACCAAATCAGTGAGTGGAAATGATGACAGCACTTCATTAGATTTAGAGTGGGAAGATGAAGAAGGTATTTCTTCTGCTCTTGAGTTTCATTCTGAACCTCCAAGTTAAAAATGCTAATAGTGTTAAACTATGTTGATTGTAAATGTTGTTTTTGAAAGGGAAGGTGATTTAAAACTTAATTCTGATGGAACTTGTCAAGTGCGTAATGATTAAACTGTAGATTATTTTTACATAGGAAATTTATTATTTTGAAGAATTCCTAATAAATTAATCCATTTCTTTGAATCCTTCAATGTCTTTTCCTGCATTTTGTAGAATGGACTTGTAAACTCACACCAGCCATAACAGTAAAGAAATGCTGCCCTCTTGTGAGCCAGTAGTAGTAGGAACAGCTTGTTCCTTGTCTTACAATGTGTAAGTTGGTCAGAAGCGCCAAAACCCGCCTAAAACAGAGAACAACATGACTGTATAGTTGCATTTCTGATTCCTAGTAGCTTGTGCTTTACAAAGGGGAGTAATTTTAATAGGTCATTGTGGCAGCAGTGCATCCCTTCACTCTAGTAACCTCTGATCTTGAGCAGAACAGGGGTAAGATAATGTAAGGAAGACTGCTTGAGAACATAACTGGTTTTCATGGCTGCAAAGGAAGGAATGTTCATCTGAAAGAAATACAAGCCAGTGTTGCAAGGGCTTTGTGTCGTTTTTAGGACATTCTTAGTAGATCTGGACCAACTTAAGTGTATTAAAACGATCTCCCTAAAGGGGCTGACTGCTTGCTCAGTTACTGTGTGTGCTGTCAAAATCTACTGTGGAGGCTGAACAACTTAAAAAGTAGAGGGGTGTGGGGTTTAGTGTGAGCTGGGGTGTTAATTTATGGTCTCATTTTTGCTGTTAGTAGACAAAGTCATAGGGGAGCTGAATGCAAAGTAGAGAAGAACCAGTGCTTTTCGATAGTATTATCCTTGAAAAACCCAACCACTAAGAACAGTACAAAAAGATGACATTGCTTGACAGAAAAGTTGCCAGGTTAGGAGCTTTCTAACAGGGAAACAATGTCCTTCATGAATTACACACTTCTGAGACAGGAGTTGTTTTCATTCTCTGGTGTCATGTACCGATACCAAACAAGGAACTTGTAATACTGATGTTGTATTGGTATTTTTGGCAGAGTATCCTCAGATAGACAACAGCTTCAGTGAGCCATTGGTACCAGAGGAAAAACTAAATTGAAAATAGCTATGTTTTAAGAGAACCATGAAACCATAACATAAAATCTATCATTTGGTGTCTGATGAAGGGAAAAATTTTCCTCATACTTTTTCCCTGTGGCTTACCCACTGCAAGAGTTCTGTGTTTCACTTGCAATATGAAGTTTTTAATTATAATTAATTAGTTAGCTAGTTACTCCACATTTAAAGGGGAGTTTACTTAGGAATGTATGAGAACAGCAAATAAGAGGATCATCATAAATCCTCCTCTTTTTTGCTTCCAGTGGTTTGGGTTTTGGTACACCATGACTAAAGTCAATAATTACTGACAAATAGCATCTCTGATGTGCTTGTGCAGTTTTCAACCAATCTTTTGCCTTATTTTTTGTGAAATTGAATATACTTTTTCAGACAAACTGAAGAGCTTTCCTAGACAAATATACCCAATATTCCTCTAGAGTTTAGTTGCTGTTTAAAATGTTTCATGTGATGATGTTTTATCTGTTTGTCAGTTACAGCAGTATTACAGGTTTCTGCAGACATTAAGCTTTTCTGGAAATGGCATGGTACCAAAGATCTTCTAATATTTACATACCTATAATATGGGGCAGCAGGTCGTTTAAATACGAGAGAGAAATACTGCCAGGGAGATGTTCTGTTGTGTTGTCTGGGTTCATTAGAACTCTAAAGCAACATCAGTGGCTGTGTTCATTTGGGCTAAAACTGACTGCAAACTATGGATTTAATATGAACACTACCACCAGAAAAAATATGCTGATGCTCAGGAGTGAAATTATCAGGGTTTGGGTTTCTAAAGGATTCTTACTGTTTCTTCTAACGCTCTAAGGCAAACGTAAAGGTACTTCCTTCAAAATGATGTCTTTCTCATAAACACTTCTTAACTCACAGGCATGAACAGGATGATTCCAATGAGAGAACGCTCCAAAACAGAAGAAGATATACTCTGGGCAGCACTGAAATTCAATAACAAGAAGAAAGGAAGTAATCCAGCTTCAGCCTCTGACGATTCCAATGGATTAGAGTGGGAGAATGACTTTGTTAGTGCTGAAATGGATGATAATGGCAATTCTGAATATGCCGGATTTGTAAATCCTGTGTTAGAGTTGTCTGTATCAGATGTAAAGACATCTGTTTCTGATTGTCAAGACAGGTAGTGAAACTGCAAGGCCCTTATCTGTGAACAAATGCTGGGAAGTGGAATAGAATGTACAAACCCAATTCACTCTTTTGAATGTGGTTCCCTTTTTCTTCCCAATTGAGTGGCAAGGAGTGGGAATGACTTGCTATCTGAATTAATTCAGAATTAAGTGCAATTTCATCATCTACCTTCTAAACTTTTATGAAAACTGGGATGATTCTCTTGTGTATATTTCTGGATACCTGGATTTAATATAAAATTGTCTGCACTAATTTAAGCTTCATAGCTTGGCATATCTATATTTTAAGTAGCCTTACCCCCCTACACCCTGGATGTCGTTTATGCCAATTTTGTTTCTAAAAGTCATTAGTAGCCTGACATCTAAGAAATGGACTTACATTAATTTAATGAATACTCGAATATAGAAGAGGAATTTTAAAATTTTATTTCCAACATGTGCTTTTGGACTTGTTCTTTAGCTATTGAGAGAGTGTGCTTAGCCAGCTGCAAAACAAATATCCCTTGGGATAAATGGCAGGTTTTCCCCATTTAGCTTACAGTCTTTCTAGCCTTATGTTGTCATTCTCATTTATTTCATTTTTTTTTTATTACTTTAAGCACAGTTAACCTCAATAAACATAATATAAATCATTGGGTTAGGTTAGGTAAGATACTGTCTTGTATAGTATAGTATGCCAGACTTAGTAAGTGTGTGCTAGATAGAAAAATTACTATAAAAAAATCTATATGCATCGAACAGGAAACTTCAACCCATATCTAGTGGAGAACTAGGAGGACCAAATCCTTGATTTTCCCCCTCTTCCTGCCCCCCCCCCCGCCCCGAAAAGATCAACATCTGTTCCTACATTGTCCTTAAAATTCTTTAGTGATAGAAAATTTACAATTCAACAACTGGAAGGATTAGTGAAAAACAACATTTTCTGAACAAACTGAGGGAAGACTAGTTGCTCTGCTTCTGGGGTATGAAGAAGAACCTAAAGGCTGAATTTCTGTTTTTTAAAGCAAGGGAATAAAAAGTTCAAGTTACAAACCAGTGTGTTTAAGTGATCAAGCTTTCCTGTGACTCTGAACTGGATAGGTAATACTGCTATTACAGACTGAAATTCAAGGAAGTGTTTGTTTGGTTATTGCAAATCTGGTGTATCCCCTGGTACTTTTGCAGGTTATACTTTTTAAAAAAGGCTCACTGAAGAAGGTGCAAAACAGTTGTAGAAGTCAGGCTTTCCCCAGAGTTTCAGTAAAGCCATTCTACTTTACTGCTGTTTTGTGTGGCTGTCGTGTTTTCCCCTGGAAAAAAGGGGGATGGGTTTAACTTAACCTCTGTTTAGTAATAGCAGCACACTAACTAATGTATCTGCAACACCAGAGAACTGAATTTGTCAGTGACTGTTGTGTCTCTGTTTTAGCCTGCATGTGATATTAGGGTCATTATAGGGTGGTCCTCTTCATAATAACTTGAACAAAAATACCATACACTGGTATGAAATACGTACAAATATCACCACTAAGGAAGAGATGAATCTTGTTGATAATATTCCTTTTTTTTAATTTAAATTGTAGCTATGTCACTGAAAAATATTTTAATGTCATTATCTACATTTGCAATGCCTGTAATAAGCTTTAAAAATTTGTATGCATCAACTGTCTGTTTTTGGTTTGGTGTAAGCTACTACTGTGTAACTTCTGAACGTTGATTTGTAGAAGAGATTCCTATGGAACTGAAGGCAACTTTCTCAACATGTAAATAACCTGTTTTTTTACCTACTCAAACTGTAACTTACCCTGCAGTGGCAACTACTTCTGGCCAGAGAACATGAGCTTATCTTGTGCTGATGACGCTTTGAGGGAAGAAACTGGCCAGTACTCCTGTGTGTAGAACAAGTGCTTAGGAAAAAGGAAGCGGATTGCAGCTGAAGGCTTTCACTGTGATGCGTATGTTCTGCCATGGCAAACAGCATTCTGCTTTTCAGGGTTCAGGGCACCAACCACACTGAGTGTGGTTGATCAGTCACTGATTGATATTCTAGTAAGTATTTGTGGAAACTGAAGAACTTGAAAGATGACACAAACAGCTCGGGAGAAACAGTTCAATGGTACTGTAAAAGGCATATCTGTACAAATATAAGTCATTAACATTTTCAGTCAGTCTTATGTTTGGCAATGTTTTATCTGTTGCTGGTTCTGTGGCTGTCATGTCATATATAGTGAAAGCAATGTGTGGAGACAAATTGTTCAAATGTTACCTCCAGTTACCTATGCATCAGCAAAGGAAGGTTTTAAGAAATCATTAGCTGTATCTTTACTGAATTCTATAGAATCCCTTCTTGAGACCTGTTCCTTTGGAAGGGAAACTGTAACAAGCTGCAGTAACAGAGGGCTTGAGGAACTTGAAGCCCTTCTTCTATCAGAAGCTGTATTCACAAAGGTAAGATGCTCTTCCTTGTGTAATGCAGGCACCTTTCCTATCTTCCTGCCTCTCCAACACCACTGGAGATGACTTAGCTGATTGTGCCCATATGTAGGAAATAGTGTTTAATAGGAAGCTCTTATTCTTTTTCAATTCCAATTCCAATGAAATGTTTTACTAAGTTGTTCAGTGTTCCAGTTGTTCCTTGTCTTTAAATGGGGGAGACATCAATTTGATGGATGGACGCTGGCTGGATAAGGAATTGGCTGAATGCCCACTTGAAGAGAATTGCATTCAACATCCCAATGCCCAGCTGGATATGGGTTAACGAGTGGTGTCCCTCAGGGGTTGGTGTTGGGACCAATCATGTTCAACATCTTTGCTGGTGACATGGACAGTGGGATCAAGTGCCTTTAGCAAGTTCTGCTGATGACACTAAATTCTGTGGTTCAGTTGATACATTGGAGGGAAGGGATGGTATCCAAAGGGACCTTGACACATTTGAGATGTGGCCAATGCCAACCTCATGAGTTCAATGTGAAGTGCAAAATCCTGCACCTGGTTTGGGGCAATCCCTGGCACAGCTACAGGTTGGGTGGAGAAGAGATTCAGAGCAGCCCTGCAGAGAAGGACTTGGGGATGTTGGTTGATGAGAAACTTAACATGAGCTGGCTTCAGTGTGCACTTGCAGCCCAGAAACCACCCATGTGCTGGGCTGCATCAAAAGGAGCATGACCAGCAAGTCAAAGGAGGTGATCCTGTCCCTCTGCTCTTGTGAGACCCCATTTAGAGCACAGTGTGCAGTTGTGGTGTCCTCAACATAAGGACATGTTCATAAGAAGCAAGTCCAGAGGGCCATGAAGATGATCAGGGGCTGGAGCACCTCTCATATGAAGATAGGCTGAGCAATTTGGTGCTGTTCAGCCTGGAGAAGAGAAGCTGTGTGGAGACCTCATAGTAGCCTTCCATTATCTGAAAGGGGCCTATAAGGATGCTGGAGAGGGGCTCTTCATCAGGGACTGCAGTGATAGGAGAAGTGGTGATGATAGGTTCAAACTGAAACAGGAGCAGTTCAGGTTAGATATAAGGAAGAAGTTCTTTACTGTGAGGGTAGTGAGGCACTGGAACAAGTTGCCCGAAGAAGTTGTGAATGCTCCATCCCCAGTAGTGTTCAAGGCCAGATTGGAAGGGGCTTGGGCGACATGGTCTAATGTGAGGTGTCCCTGCCCATGGCAGGGGGTTGGAATTAGATGATCTTAAGGTCCTTTCCAACACAAACCATTCTGTGATGTTATATATATGTTTCTGTGCTAAATCTGAGCCATTGTTGAATATAAAATCATTTGATGTGACTGAGCAATCTGTTCAGAGTTATTAGATTAAACATAAAATTGGTGTTTCAGCATTTCTTTTAGTGTTCTGTGATAGTGAATACTAAACTGAACCAAGAAAAAAACTACCAAAAATGCTAGCTGCATTTGTGTGTGTAGTATTTCTCACAGTTAAGTTAGCAGGGTAGGACTAATGGCAGCCTTGGGGTGGGGTGGGGGGGGGAAGCAGAAGTCTTCTGGTGAACAAAGTATGTTCTGGCATTCTTTATGCTGAAACAACTCTTCTTCTCCAGTCAAACCAACATTCTGGTCAAATCAGCATAGTGATAGGATCCTCCTAGGAGAGGGTTAATTTTTTTTCAATGTGCATTTTGGGGTTGATTTTTACCCTAGTAAATATAGTTGTAGAAAAGACTAGTGCTTTGAAACCATTAAATTACTGATGTGGTGTTTTGGGTTTTTTTTCCATTGCAAGTTTTGTTCCTGGGGATGTGCCCAAGAAACGTTTCACTCTAGATCTCTAGTTATCCATGAACTTCTCTGTGCAGAGCTAATGCTGAGACGTAACACTGAACTCTAGACCAGATGGAAGATCTTTCTTAAGTAGGTATTGTGTGTAGATGTTTCTTTTGATACATGGAAGTTGAAAATTTGAGATTGAGGTGTCACTTTTTCTTCAGATAATAGCTCAGAAAAGCATAAGCATTTTGTATGACCAGTGCCACAGTTTAATGACTGTCCTGGGTTCAGCAGTAGCAGTCATTTTTTCTCCTTAGTAGCTGATGCAGTGCTGTGTTTTTGACTTTCAGCCTGAGAACAGTGCTGATAACACAGATGGTTTTAGTTACTGCTCAAATGTTTAGTCTGACCAAGGACTTTCTGAGTCTCATGCTCTGCCAGGGAGGACGGGAAGCCAGGAGAAGCAGAGACAGGACACCTGACCCAAACTAGCCAAAGAGGTATTCCATACCACCGCATGTCATGCCCAGGATGAAAACTGGGAGGTACCCGGAAGAGCTAGTTCACTGTTTGGTCAGGCTGGGTATCTGTTGGCAGGTGGCATTGTATTTTCTTCCCTTGTTATTTCCTTTATCATTATTATTATTGGTGGTATCAGTAGTGGTTTGTGTTATGCCTTAGTTACTGGACTGTTCTTATCTCAACCTGTGGGAGTTACATTCTTTCAATTCTCCTCCCCATCCCTCCGGAAGCAGGGCTGGGGAGAAAGGTGGGGGGAGTGAGCAAGCAGGCTGCGTGAGTCTGAGTTACTGACTGCACTTAAACCGCAACAATAGCCTACACAACAGGGCCAGTGAACAGGAATTGAATGACGATTCTGGACAGGGATTGTATTAGCAATCTGGTTTTAAAGCCCAAAGCAGCATGAAACAGCAACTTGAATGTAGTCCACAATAATTTAAGAGCACTAATAGGAAGAGAGCTGTTTAGGGGGAATGCAAAATTAATGCTCCTTCCTCCCTCACACATGAGCACAATCAGTGAACATAAGAAACTCTATGCATTTTATACAAGGCTAATGTGAAAACTTTTAAATCAAAGTGCTTGGTTCAGATTGTATTTGTATCTTGCTCTCTTTAGGCAGCTTGCATTTGCAGGTATTGGCCATCCTCTGTAATTAAAGAGGAGGATGAGTCAGGTCAAAAGCATAATAGCTACTGGAAATCTGCAACCAGTAGCACCATGCCTGATGAGACTGTGATACTTGCAAAGGTTTGGTGTGTTAAGCTGAGGAGCTGGGTGTGTGACAGGCCTTCGTGCATACATAAAGGCTGAATCTAGGCCAAAGACTGTAAAGAGTAAGCACTAGAGCCTAGTTGAAAGAGTAGAAAATGCAGGAACAAGGTATTTTTGGCAAGGATAAGATGAATAGACAAATGAAATCCTACATAAGCCTGTGTTTGAATTTCGTTGCCTCTCCTCACTTTCTCTCGCTTGTAGTTCTTTGCCTTAATCTCAGGTTATATTGTGCAATTTGGCTGTTCTGCCTCAGTTACAATTCTGGTTTGCTTGTCGTGATTAATGCTGAAATGCAGCCCAACGTTTAGGGATGATCACATGAGTATGTATGCTTTGTCCTGATGTTTTCTGCCCATGGAAAGCTGAGCACCTAGCAAAGGAAAACTGAATTGAAACAAACTGAGAAATACTGAAATGAAAATTGTTAAGAGAGCTTGGGGTGGGAGGCAGAGAGGTAGAAAACGTGTTGAAATGTATTTTAGCCAGCAATTTAAACCTTAAGAGCAATGCCATTTGTAGAAAGCCTAGAATAGTGCAGTCAAAATGTCTCACTGGATTGTTCTGGATATGAGTTTGTTCACAATAAGTGCTTTTAGGTTGGAGTTTTAGAAGACAGCAAATCCTTACTAGACAACCAAATGGTTGTATTGCAAAATTTAACTGGATTTTTACATACCACTCACATTGCATTTTTATTGACATTCACAAGCAAAAGTAGTTAATTTGCAAAACAAACAAAAAAATCATTTTAAAAAGAGAACAAAAATCTTGCTGCAAAGATCATAAAAATATTAACTTAAAAGGACTATGCTGACAAAGTGTTTCTAAGTTGCAGAATCTGAGGAGTTACATGTTAGGCTTGAAAATACAGTTTGGAATTTTCTGTCAAAAGCAAAAGCACGAAGTATAACAAATGCAGTGAGACACTGTGACCCTACTTAGCTAACCACTGAAACACTGTTCTGCGTGCTTTGTGTTAATGCCTGCTAACTATACCTTCAAGGCATGCCATCACAGCTCTCCAACTGATCCTGCTGTATTGGATTTGAGTGGCCTTCTATGTCTCCCCTACATTTGCGGCAGACAGTGGTGATCGGACAGCAGATACATTTTGGGGAAGACAGCAGCAGGAACCTGGTACGTTCTAGTATGCCTATGCTGAAAGCAACACATAAGAAGACTGATACGTAGTGGTGAGAACTGTCCTGAACAGTGGACTGAGATGACAGCCTTCAGTTTTAGAAGCTGTGCAGGCTTCAAAGGATGACAGTCTGATCCAGCCTCTATCTCCCCACTAGCATGACTCATTTTCATCAATCTCTATGGTGCTTTTGCTGTGTGAAGGAAACATAGAAGAAGAAATGCCATTTTCTAGTACAGGTTGCAGTGATGGCAGGCATCTTTCTTGTTAGATGGGTGCCTGAGCCAAGTGTGAGTCTCAAAATAATCCATGGACTCCCCTTCTTCAGGCTCTGCTAAAATCTGGTAGTCCCCAAAACAAATGATGCACTTCCATGGCAGGTCAATTTTGTTTAAGTAACCCAGTTCTGTTTGGTCCACGATCAGTTTAGTTTTCTTGCTCATGTTCTTTATCTCAAAACAAAGTTCTGCGCTCTTCAGTTTCCTGTACAATTGCGAGGAGAACTGAATTCGAGAAACTCGAGCATCCATGAAGTTGTAATGGCAGACATTATAGACATTATCGGTGGATATAGAACTGGCTAGATGGCCGCACACAAAGAGTTGTGGTCAATGGCTCAATGTCCAGCTGGAGACCAGTAATGAGTGGCGTCCCTCAGGGATCAGTGTTGGGACCGGTCTTGTTTTAACATCTTTGTCGCTGACATGGACAGTGGGATTGAGTGCGTGCTCAGCAAGTTTGCCGATGACACCAAGCTGTGTGGTTCGGTTGATACCCTGGAGGGAAGGAATGCCATCCAGAGGGACCTCGACACGCTTGTGAGGTGGGCCGATGGCAACCTCATGAAGTTTAACCATGACAAGTGCAAGGTCCTACACCTGGGTCAGAGCAATCCCAGGCACAGCTACAGGCTGGGCAAAGAAGAGATTCAGAGCAGCCTGCGGAGAAGGACTTGGGGGTGTTGGTTGATGAGAAAATGAACATGGGCCGGCAGTGTGCACTTGCAGCTCAGAAAGGCAACCGTATCCTGAGCTGTATCAAGAGGAGTGTGACCAGCAGGTTGAAGGAAGTGATCCTGCCCCTCTACTCTGCTCTTGTGAGACCTCACCTGGAGCATTGTGTGCAGTTCTGGTGTCCTCAACATAAAAAGGACATGGAACTATTGGAACAAGTCCAGAGAAGGGCCACAGGGATGATCAGGGGACTGGAGCACCTCCCGTATGAAGACAGGCTGAGGAAGTTGGGGCTGTTCAGCCTGGAGAAGAGAAAGCTGTGTGGAGACATCATAGCAGCCTTCCAGTATCTGAAGGTGGCCTATAGGGATGCTGGAGAGGGACTCTTCATTAGAGACTGTAGTGATAGGACAAGGAGTAACAGGTTAAAACTTAAACAGGGAAAGTTTAGATTGGATATAAGAAGGAAATTCCTTCCTGTTAGGGTGGTGAGGCACTGGAATGGGTTGCCCAGGGAGGTTGTGAATGCTCCATCCCTGGCACTGTTCAAGACCAGGTTGGACGAGGCCTTGGGTGATATGGTTTAGCGTAAGGTGTCCCTGCCCACAGCAGAGGGGTTGGAACTAGATGATCTTGAGGTCCTTTCCAACCCTAACTATTCTATGATTCTATGATTCTACATTAGAATCCCGGCCAAACTTGGCCATTTCACCTGCCCTGACCTGTTCTCACTTACAGAAATTCAAGCAACGAAACATCATTTTGTCCTCTTGACAAGGATGGTAAAAGGTCATGTGGAGACATGTTACTGTTTCTTCAGTTTCAACTTCTTCAAAAGAGGTCATGATGAAACGAATCCTCAAAACAAAGTAAAATCACAGCATGAAATCACTGTAGTACCAAAAGAACTGGCTTCACAGTGGCATTAAAATACTACTGTATAGTGACTATATGTAATTTACTGCTGACTCTGAATGTAATGAAACCACTGGAATGAAGAAGTGAGAATTGAGCCTACCAACTCCATGATAACCCTCACTTCTCACCACTTTGCCAGGGACTCGTTTGGCGACCCCAACTCTGTGCTGAACTCCTCACATCATTTGATTGTGAACCTCCTGCAATGGCTGCGTAGCACTTCAGAAACACACTCCGTAAAACACCCACTACTGTCAACTGGTGATGACTTATGTCATAAGGCTTGCACAGGTAGGTTTATCTTTGGAAGAAATATGTCACTTGGCAGTGACAGTAGTGTTTACATTATGGACTTAAAATGGAGTACTAAGTAGTATTGTCTGGGCCTGCACACTCTGTTTTATGCTGTAGTCCTTTGACTAGAAGGTATCAGACAAGTGACTTCTACAGAGAGAGTCTGGCTGTAGGCAGTAATATTTCAAATACATATAAAGCATCATTTTTGCTCTTTAGTCATAATTTGCCTCTTGTATGAAACAAAATACAGTGTTTAGAAGTGACTAATGTGATAATATGTAAACTGAAAGCAAAAGATGGAATCGTCAAGACATAAAGGAGGAATTGTCACCAACTCCAGCTATTTTCCTGCTGCCTATTGTTACATCCCAGCTATTTGCTACAGAAGTACTTAGCTAGGCAGTGAAAATAAAAAGTAACTTTTGGGATTTGGTGGTGGTGTTTTTTGAGTTTTTGTTTTTTTCCTTGTGTAAGCTTCTCCCATGCAGCACAGAGGTGCTTATGAACTAAATTCTAAAGTCTGAGTATTTGCAGTGTATCCTAATAAAATCTGAGAGGACAGATCACAGTGTTTCCTATATAAGCAAGTATTTTCCTGCACTGAAACTTGATCTAAAGAAAAAGCTACGTACTTAAAGTAGGAACGAGGGAAGGAGTTCTCAGTTATCCACCAAAGCAGCATGTCAACAGCCATTTAACTGAAATAATACAGTGGAAATGTTTGTTGCGTTTCTCCTTCTAGTTTGCATGTTTCTGACGTGTGTCACACAGATCCTGAGCTTTCCCACTAGCTCTATTGAGTGAATGATGCTGAACAGCAGCTCCCACTTTAATCTTTTATTTGTGGGTAGCTGAGTCATCACTGCAGTTAAGTCTTCTGACTTGTGGGTTTTTTCAAGGCTAAATTATACCACTGTCCATGACCTCAAAGCACAGTGAATAGTGACATATCAGTGCATCACTTTCTGTGTGAAACCTCAAAATCCTTCTTATACCTTTAACAGAGTAACAGCAACAGTTCTGACGCAGGAGTGCAGCAACCTCATCTTGATGACTGAAGTAGGCTACAACAGTGCTTCTACCTAGCTTAAATGATTAGAGAAATAGAAAATGTCAAGTAGCTCTGGGAGCTTACTTCAAAACAAACTAGGAAATACCACCTGTGCTTTTGACAGAAGTATAGAGGTGCTCTTACAGCAAGTTATTCTTTTGGCACCTGCCAGACAAGCTGCAGTGGCACCTGTGTCCATCCCTTCTCCTACTAGTATGCCTGAACTCCAGGGAGCTGGAAGCAGCTCTGTGAGCAGGAGGATGGCCTATCTTTTTCTGTGCTTAGTTCTGCCCTTCACTGTTTTGTACCAGTGTGAGGATGTGAGATGTTACATGAGGTCAGCATTGGTTAAAGGGCAAAACCAAGTCATTTAACTTAGTTTGTGGACTGACCTATGGAGACAGTTTTGTCTGGGGCCTTTGATATCAACTTAAAAGCATGCTTTGCTTCCATTAGTGGCTTCCTTAATTGGTTTCTGAAATGCATCAGGACAGGGCAAAACACAGGACTAGAAAGAAAGATATTTTAAGAAATCTGCAATATGTATCAGATCGTAACAAAATGTTGGATTTATTCACGTTTATGGATTTTACAAATGGTTCCTTTACTAATCAGGGAAGGGGAAGAATGTCCACTGATTGCTTAAGCAGCACACAGATAGAATCACAAAATGGTTTGAATAAGAAAGGATCTTAAAGCTCATCCAGTTCCAATCCCCTGCCATGGGCAGGGACATCTTCCACTAGACCAGGCTGCTCCAAGCGCCATCCAACCTGGCCTTAAACACTTCTAGGGGTGGGGCAGCCACAACATCTCGGGACAACCTGTTCCAGTACCTCACCACCCTTGTAATGAAGAATTTTATCTGAATATCTAATCTAAATCTACTTGTGTGCCACCTCAGGCATCCCAAACTCAGCTGCAGAGTTCTGCATTAAAGGTTTGAGGTTGGACTGAGCATACTGTCATGCATATACTTGTAGGACAGTCTATTTACCTAGACTGTATTGAACAAGAGAAAGATTTGAGAACTGCACTTGGAGAAGGCAAGTTTTCTATAGTCAAATCCAGACTTCTGCAGCTATAAAGTAGCCTGCTACACTGCTGTTGTCTGTACCTTGAGTCAAGCAAATCATACCCAGCCATTTTCCTGTCTATCAACATCATCTCCTCCACAGTGCATCGTTATCCTCTCAGGAGTGCCCATTGCAGGGGGATGATCACTGCCTTGGCCCTGCTGGCCCCTGGTGCTGCTACAGGCCAGGATGCTGCTGGCTGCCTCAACTCCAAACAGCGCACTCCACCAACGCCACTGCCTGTGTCGACACTTCCTGAGGAATTCCCGGCCTCCCCTGTGCCCTTACACGAAGATCCAGCCCCTCCCCACCCGGCACGCCCCCTTCCCCCGTACCTCAGCAAGGCCTGGCTTCCTCTTCACCTTCCTGTGGGAGCACTCCGAGCTTCCCTGTTTAAAAAGCTCTTTTAAAGCTGAGGGTCCGGCGAGAAATGATTCTCAGGTGGGTATCGGAGGGTCCCCTCGGGCCCGCAGCTGCTCCCTCACAGCCCGGTACCTCAGAACTCGAAGGTGGGGAAGGCGGGAAGCGGTGTCCAGCAGCGCCCTCCCGGCAGCGCCCTCTCGCCAGCGGGACGGGGGTGGGCTGCGAGGGAAGGTGGGAGAGGCGAGAGGTGTCCAGAGGCCCGGGAGAGGGTTGGGGGTGGTTTTCAAGAAGTATTCGGGGCTCGTCTGTGATTATGGTGAGTAAACCGGAAAAATAATAATAATTTAAAACAAAAAAAAAAAATCCTCTCAGCTCTGCCTGGGGTTTAACACGGGTGTCTAGAAACGTTGCACTCATGAGGAACCAGTGGTGACAGCGATGTTAAAGATAAGATGTGGAGTTTGTGGGCTCAGGTTCCAGACCAAAAATACTTAGTTTCACCCCCAAATGAACACTTTGAAAAGTAAAACTCTGTGGTGTTTTGAATACTAAAACATAAGCAGCACATTGTAAGTGTAGCAGTTGACTGGTGATGTTCTTAGATGTATTTTAAAATACTTGGTTATTTGCTCCAAGTGGTTCATCTTCATTGTGCTGCTTTGGGGAAAGAAAAATATAGGTGTTCCGTGGCTGGTGATCTAAGCTGAGCTGAAAATTTCCCATTTTACTAGGTAGTCCTTCCATCTTGCTTCCTGTGAGCACCAGTCTGGTAAGAAAACCAGAGTAATTCTCTCTCTCATCTGTGGAGACAGTGTTCTCACAGGAGAATGGATAATTGGTACATAAACTCTGAAAATCCTGAAAGATACAGCAAGGCCATGAGAGGCCTGAGGAAGCCTAAACAAGCAAGATAAGAAGAAGCTGGATTTCACCGAGTTAATGAGAACTGTGGAGTGTTGGCAAGCTTTCGAGGTCAAGTTCCCACAGCTGTGCTTAACCAATTATATGCTAGTTGCAAAGGGTCTTCAGGACATGTATCCAATCATAATATGCCAAATCACTGTAAGTGCATGTAAGAAATAGTATTTAAGGGGTTAAGGCTTTGTAATAAATGGCTTTTGTCTGATCATATTTATCTCTGACTGAGTCCATGTATTTTCTGCGGCACTCATCCAGCTGCTTCTTTTTCTTGTAAAGCAGGATTACTTCCAAGCACAGAACAAGAACAGAATGCCAGAAAAACCCTGTTTCATCCCGGTCTGAATCTGAGATATTTGGCATATTCGGAGTCCTCCCTCCTTTGTGCTTGTGCAGTGCTGTGACCAGCGAGGTGTTCTGCTTTGATAAGGACCAGAGGTTTGATTGCTTTGATACGGGCAGTAAGATACTGTGTTAGTTCAGATAAACTATTCTTCATTTGTGGGTTCTTTTTTATTTAGTAAACAGGTGAATTACTCGTGGGGTCGTAGTTCTTGTAGAATAGAATTTATCTGCACACACACTAATGGGTCTGCTGCCTATGCTCATCTTCCCTTACATCTAAAAAAAGGGGGCTAACTGTGCTTTGCAAGAAGTCACATGGAAAAACAGAGAAGGACACAGATTCTTCCAAGTTTCTTTCTTACAGAATGACTTTCTTGCAGCAGGCAGGGCTGGGCCTGTGTGCTCACACAGAAGCCTGCTGGAAAAGCCAGAGTTGTGCAACCCTGCTATTTATTACATCTGTTGATGACTCATTCCTGTCAGCATTTTGGGTCTGGAAACAGCCAGCTTCCCAGGCCACCAGAGTTTACTAGAGTTCATGGCTGTATTACAGTTACTTTTTAAATTGAAATCTCTCTGGTCAAAAGTGAAACTGCAAATGGATGTGTAAAGCTTTGCTGGGCTGAGCTGCCCTGCGTGGTAAGAATGTTGCTGTGATTTGGGCCAGGGAAGCTGATGTCAACTTTAACCATGTTACTCTTGCTGCCATCCTATTTTGTGTTGCCCTTTTCTTGGGTTGTGATTTTCCCCACGTATGAATCTTTCCACAGCATGAGTCTATGCTCATGTCCCTGGAATTATCCACTGGATAATGTAGGTGATGGAAGTTGGATCCTTTCCATGCCTGTGGCACAAGGCATTTCCCTGGATTGCAAAGACACTGTGGAATATGACAATAAAGGTGGAGCAGAACCACGGTCCCCTTTCAAGTTGCCTTCCAGCTGGCTGGCTCTCAGACACCTTTACTTGATATGTTGCCAATCCCTAGAGAAGAGGAAGGCCTAGGAAAAGTCATGCTTGTTACTTTAAATGGATCTTTCCATGGTATGGCTTTTCTGTGTGATTATCAGTGGCACATTCTTGATGCCATTTGGGCTAATGAAGTATTTGTAATGTGTAGGCTGAACGACTGAGGTGGTTTTGGCTTGACTGTGGCGATGAAGTTTTCCTAACAACTGATCCGGATAACTTCGGAACCTAAATAGGCAAATCTGGGAAATGGAAAAATACTAAGAACTCTGATACTGCTTTTGGTCATGATTAGTTTTGCATATCTGATGGTCAGTGAGGGCAAATATGTTAATTTCTCTTTCTGGGAAGTTCATGGTAGGTTAGAAGAGTTATAGAAAATGTATTCTGGGTTATTGAGTGGAAGAGCTGTTTATGGATATCTGTATTTCAGCTAATTCTTCCTGAATGACCCATTGTGAAACCTTCCTTCCCGAGGTTCCTCCCCGTGCTTTAACACACCATAAGAAACTTTACCAGAACATCCCTGGGTTGGCTTTTTTTGAGTGCTCTGGCACATGGTGCAGTTGGCTTGGCTGCTAGTGGTCTGCCTGTCTAGTCACAAGTTGGGAACCCTGTGACAACATTTCTCAGATGCTTGGGAATCATGTCCTTGATAGTTCTGTCTCTCCTATTGCATAAAAGCCGTTCTGTAGACATTTGAGGCAAGATAGAAGACCAGAAGTAGCCTGGGCCAGTCTGAAGCTTTCTATTTCTCTCTGCTTTTAAATTAACATGATGAAAGTATTTTTATCCTGTTGGTCTTGCCTGATTTCAGTGGTGCTGAGGTTTCACCACTCGCTATTCTTCCCTCCTAAGGCCAGATATTATCACAACTGATGAAGTAGTGCTTACATTTGTCATCTGGGTGACAGGACGCATGCAGGTCTGAAGGGTTGACTGCACATGTAAATGCGTAAATATGACTTCTGTGGTTTTCTGGTATGGTAGCTTTTCTTTTTTTTTGCTTTCCCACTCACAGGTCCAGCTTATCAGCAGTGTCATCATGTGAACAGTGAAGCAGATGCCATGACCTAGGGAGACCTCTGATGCTAAACTTCGCAATAGAAATACATGCAGTGGATTTGATTGCATTAGGGTTTGCTTTTAAGATAAATATGTAGAGATGCTGTTTTACTGCAGGGCTGGCCTCTTCCAACAAGGGAACATAAGCGGTGCGCTAGTGTTTTGATTTGATGTCATGCAAGTGGAAGATGTGAAGTGGAAGATGTGAAGTGCAGCCTGCAAGTTGCCCCCCTCAGTTCCTCTCCATATTCCCTTTGTCTGCACAGCCCCGTGGGCATGGCTCCCAAGGGATGTTCCTCTGTTTGCTGACTTTCCCCAGCATTAAATCATAGAATCCCAGACTGTTTTGGATTGGAAAGGGTCATAAAGTTTGTCCAGTTTCTACCCTCTATCACTGGCAGGGACACCTTCCACTAGAGCGGGTTGCTCCAAGGCCAGTCCAACCTGGCCTTGAACACTGCCAGGGATGGGGCAGGCACAGCTTCTCTGACAACCTGTGCCAGAGCCTCACCACCCTCACATCTTCTCCCTGAGATCTCATCTCAATCTCCATTCTAAATTCTTTCAAATGTTTTGCTCTTGTCCTGCAGTGGCAGGTGCCTGTCTTGTGGTCCTGGGCGTGCTGGGTGGCAGGGGCTATGCTGCCATTGTACCTCCCTTGTCCCAGGGCTTGTTCTCCTGGGGTGGCACAGAGGTGGACTGAAAACATCCTTCACTTGTTTGGGGATGTACACAGAGGAGGAGGTTGGTAAGAGTTGGCTGCTGCTTTAGAGCCATAAAATCCAGCCTGGTGGATGTGTTTGTGTGTGAGTAAGTAATGCAAGGCTATAAGAATATTCACTGCCTACACCTGTAACATGTGCTGGGGTCAAATACCAACCCTCGCACTCCTGTTGCTCTTTAGCTTTGCTTCATAGCCGATCTCTTGATCCAAACCACCTTAGTACTATTGAGGGTACCTGGGGAAGAGCCGGTAGGTGGCAATGTGTGACCAGACATGGGGAGCCACCATCTCATTTGGGGTTTTGGGTCTGAGGGGTTTTTTTTGTGTTTTTGTTTGATTGGGTTTGTTTTTTTTTTGTGGTGGGTTTGTGTTTTTTTTTTCTAATGTATGTCAGAAACTTTGTTTTGATATTGCAAGAGCTGTTGTGATACTTGTAAGTTAATGGCAATAATGGCAGTGGTAACTTCCAAGAGTTCATTTGGGAAAGGTATAACAGAGTATGCAATGACCTATAGCCAGGTTCTGCAATGAGTTATTATTACTGTACAGCAATCAAGCGCCTTATGTTCAAACAGAAAAGAAATGGGCCCTTCTTAAAGTCGTATGTATTCCAAAGATAGCAAGGTACTCATCTGGATCTCAGCATGAAAGGGAGGAGGGGTGCATGGGAAGGAGGTACATTCACTGAACTTTGAGATCCCAGTGCCAAGAACAGCTCCACTCCATAAAGCAGAGAGGAGATCTTCTAAAGGAAGAAGGCAGAGTACAGTTCCTTCTGTATTTATTTACTTCTTTGTTCCTTGTTTACTCAGGAAAAATAACTTCCATTTGCCATC